TAATAATAAAAATAAAAATATGCATTCAAGGAGTGGATAGAGGTATTTATTTCCTGTGCATTAATTTAGTGGCATTGCCTGTGCACACACATTGAGCAATATAGCAACGATTCACATAAGCCACCACGTATACAAGTATTTATTTAATAGACAAAGTACAGAAATGTAATGAGCAAATGTTCTTCATATATGCATGCTTAACACATTTGCATTGACTTGTCAGTTACAGTACATGACTCACTCATAATATTTCCACCTACTGTATGCTTAGGAATCAGTTCATATTTGAATTGCATGTCATACTTTTATCATTGAAATACAGTTTTGAACAAATTGCTTACCTACAATAATAAGTAAGAACTGGAATTACCTGTAATTTTGTTCCTGTTACACCCATGCCAATTGGGAATCAAAAACTTGATTTCACAGGAGAGGAAACTTGCTCTCCACCTGTTGGATTCACACTCTGGTAGCTCCACAGTACTTTACAGTAGAGTTAGCCCCAGTGGGAGTGACTAGTTTTTCTCGGAGTGCATCTGGAAAGCCCTGAGAGTGAATGTTGAAAAGCCAAGGACACAGGTCAGACTCCTAAGTTGGTGGTGTTTGCCCAGTTGCGTACGGTCAGTTGCACTGTCTCAGGTTCAGCCGGAGAAGGACAGAGCTCACAGGTTTCAAGTGCTGATTGAGGTCAAGTTGCATTCTTAATGCATTTATTGGCTCTGCCACTTGGAATACCTACTGTACAGTAATAACCCAGCAGATGTTTTTCTATTGTCCTAACTGTTCCGTCACTCTTGAAACCTTTCATTGTCTTGTTTCTGTTCATAATTGCCTGGATTACAGTATATATCACATCCGTTTTTGGACTGTTTCCAGTGTAACTAGTGCTTCACAAAAATGAATGTGCAGGTGTACTGTACCTCACCCTGCACACGAGGTTCCAGAGCAATTTGTGCTAAATGAAATGAGTGTTAAATAGGGTCACAAATACATTGAGTTACTGGGAGAAAGTTCCAGAAATGTGAATCAAACTTGAAAATGTGCTGAAATTATTGTAGAACTTCAGAAATGGGCAGGGGCAGGGAACCAGACTCTGGGAGTTAGTTGAGGAGCATGTTCTCTGATGGAGTTTTGCTGTAGATTTGAATGATCCACTCACAAATCCACTTTCTCACCTCTTCCAGTTCAGGGTCGTGAGGGATTTGTTTTTTATCCATTATAGCATTTGCTTTGTACAACAAATAATACATTGCAATTTTGCCAATAATCTTGGCTGATTATATTTAATTTTTTTTATTTTAAAATTAATTCAATCAACTAAAGTTATAATGTTTATCTGCATAGCATTGTAGTGCAAACGTCAGGTTAACGTGTATTGCTCAAATAAAGTAAAGGTTGTGATAACTTTGCGTTCAAAGAGATCATAAAGATTTCTTTACCTCGCTGACCCTTTGAGTTTTCATGCTTCTAGATAGTATCAGGCAATTTAAGAATATTTTAATACTTCAAATTTTATATTCTGGCCTCTAAACTGTTTTGAATTCCTTAAAAATAAGTAGGACAATGGGCCATGGAAACAAAATCTAAAGAATTGTAGACAAAAGTTAATATTTTGAAAAAGGAAAGGAACTGTATGAAATACATTTTTGTAAATTGATGTGCATTTGAGGAATGTGACCCTTTGATTTGATCTTAAGACATGTTTACAGTGCTGGTGATCTTACCATTTATCCAGGAGTAAATACATTAGTCAGGATAAATTAGTCATTCAGTCATATAAAAACTAACAAGGAGAAAAGTGAACTCTCTTTCTATCATGCATGAAATAGTAACTTTCTAAAACTTGACAGTGTTTACCTAAGGAACTAACAAAGTGCTAAAATAAGAGATCCCTGCTGTTCAAAATGCAGTATTAATATAACACAATTGACAACTCTGTATCTTAGTGATATTTCATAGAACTGACTGTAAGATTTCTGATGTGGAGTGAGAGTGATAAAAATGTGTTTTTTTTTACTTAGCTTATCCAGACATATGCTTGAAACTGTGTTAAATGAAAAACGTAGAAACTCATTACGAGAGATTTTACACTGGCAGAACTACAGTAATCTGCAGGTAAATTTTGAAGGGTGAATTATTGCTCTTTACTAACATTTGTTGTCAGTCTCCTTGCTTTGGAAAGATTGGACAGGCACTACAATCGGAATGCAAAGGTTTTGATATAAAGATGAGCTAAACCCTCTTTTAAACAGCTTGGCTGTTCAGGTCTTTTCAATGAAGCTCAGAGTGATAAAAGCACAGTTAAAAACACAGCCTAGCCTATATTCACAAAGAAGCACTAGGTCTCTGAAGTTCTGAGTTATGCATGCTGAAAGTTCCCCTTTTAATTTTCATTTCTCTCTTTTCCTCTGCTTGTTAGCCCCTCCATCTAAAAATCTTTCCTTCTGAGAGCAATGGCCAAAGCCTTTTCTTTTCTTTTTGAAATGTACTCAATAAATCACACTCCTGTAATTTCAGGTCAATATAATTTTTTTGTTATGGTTTATTTGTCAGTAATAAGGAATCGTATGTTTACTGCAGAATGCATATACTGTAATACGCTTTGATATCACTTCTGTTGTGACCTCTTCAATGTGACTTTTCTGTTGTAGACCTTTGAAATTCAACTGTCGCAACCTAAATGAAACAACTGATGAATATTTTTTTCTATGCCTATTCTGTGCCATAATGTTATTTTCATGAGTGGGTATTTCCTGTGTGTTTGTTTTAGCAGTGAAGAACTGTACAATTTCCTCATCAGTCTACAACAGCAATGCATGTACTTGACAGAGACGGTTCAGGATGTCATTAACAGGGTACCAAGACATGTAAGCACGGTAATGAAAACTCCCCAAAATTGGTTAATTTTAGTTAACAGCCATGTACAGTGAATTAATCTATATTTCTCTGGAAAATTGATGTATATTTATTTGTTTTCTTAGATTTATCAACGTTGACAGTATGGTAATACATTGACATTGTTGCACTGACTTGAAAAATTGGTTCTGACTATATTCTTAGATCATTTAATTATGTAAATATCTGCTGATTTAAAAAAGGTAAGAAAATAAGCACATACTGTGCAGTAAGAGCAGTCATGCTTACGTAGTTTTATAAATGTCATTTGTTCTGTGTCATATTTTATCTTTAGGTTATTGTTTAATTCATGTTATCTAAGTTATTGCAGTTCCAAAAATCTCGCTACTTCACAATTTTGGTTGTAAGTCATTGTTTTAATCAAATATTCATCCTTCCCATTGCAGCGAGTCCTAAGCTGGGATCCGAAAAGGGAATCACAGTCTCTCTGCGATAAACTGGTGGCACAGACGATGGACTTGCATAAAGAGATGATTTGCTTACATAACCTGCTTGACAAGGTATAGTGAATAGGCAGCCAATTCTAGTTAACTAGATAAGCTGATACTTATACACAAGAGTGCTGGATCTGGGGGGCCTTTGGTTAAACACTTTTGATCAAGAACTGCAGATGCCATCATAGAACAGGCAGTTAAGAGTGGGTGGAAAAGGTCAAGGCACTGTTAACAGCACGTATTTCAGACAGGCTTTGACAACAAAGAGACACGATCTTGTCAGAAAGCGTTGCTTGAACTAATCGACTGAGAGAAGACATGGTGGTGTCAGGATCTAGCTGTGACAGCTTCAGTGTCAGACAGGAATTTGCTAGTGAATGGAGCCATTTGGAAATCTGGTAGCTGTCCTCTGGGTCCTTCTCTTCTGGCACTGTTTTGTAATGTTTTTAACCCATCTTTTATCATTCATCTGATCTCCAGTGTTCATTTCCCCTTTAAGTGCATTAGGAGATTAATGGTCTCCAAAGTATTTAAGTAAAATATTAGTCTTGTGAAGTATGTGTATGTGCAGTAAATAATGTTACTTTGGACACTAAGGCTTTAGATCTATAGTAGTATGTACAGGAAGATAAATATATTTTTTAGAAAATTAGCTTTATATGTCTTCACATTCTAAAGTGTTTTTTTAGGTTTCAGCATAAAACTCATGATAGAGGAGGCTTAGAGGCCTATCTAGTTCTCTGGCTGGAGCAGTGGTTGTACTCCATATTCCACAGGTTGCAAGTACAGATTTGGTCTGTGCTTTTAGCCATGTCTGTCATTTTGCATCTATGCATCGACGCCAACAAAGCCCCTGTCACCTTACGTCACATATTGGAGTGAGGATTGGCACAACATTGGTAACAGGGACGTCACGGAATAAATTCCCTGTGATTTAGAATAATCAGAACTGATAGTGGTTAACTTCTTATAGCTCCTGAGGTAGGACTGTTTCAACCTGTGGAGGGGGTACGGCCCCTATTTGGGTTAAAAACAATTCTTTAAAAGCAAAAAAACCTTTGGAACCAGTGTGGTACACCCACCAATTCCCACCCAAAAGGATTTTTAGTCCTAGAATCTGAAAAGAACCTCAATAAACTTGCAAAACATATGACTCGCTGTTAAATAGAGGCTCATTTGGCCACAAAGGTGTATTTTTCGGCAGTGTAAGATGGATAATAGAAAAATGTTTCATATACTGTAGTAGAAACACTATAGTAGGTAGCGAGAGTGTGAGACTGGGAGTTGAAACATGAATCTAACATTGGATATCATATAATTTTGGAATCTTTTATTATGTAGTTATAATTATGTAGAAAAATAATTTGTATTAACATATTGCTGATTTTAATGCAATTCTGAAAGGAATAAGGACATTGCCTTTGGTTGATTTGCCACCAAATAATGCATCTGTAACTGGGAGTTTCCATGGGTTTGTGTGCAGCCAGGCTTGAATGAATATAAATACATTCAGGGTTTCCGCGGGCTTCCACAGACCAGTAACACCTGTAACTAGTCGCGTGCCTGAGGATTTGAAGTGTTAACTGTATGTGGTTTGCATATTGGGCTTGTATTAGGCTGTGCAGCATATCACAGAGGAACTGTTTATTTTAAGCAAAGATGTGATTTGGGATCTTAGTTAAAGATGGCAAGAAAATGCATTGTGGACATAGCATATAGTAGAACTGCTACAGAATGCAACACCTTCAAATTATTGGAAGTGCTTTCAATGGAGCCTTCTCCATATTTGAGAGAGATCATAATTGGCTTTATTAAAGTTTGTGTGCATATGAGTATGTTTGTATACAGTATGCTACACTAATAAGTGGGATTTAGGAGAGAAAAAATTACAATTTTACCTGTTGAAGTCCACATTTTCAGAGACTAAAATAATTTGTTTTTCTATGTTCATACAGATAACTGTTCTCAAATTATGTCAGGTAAAATACCACAAAAAATGTGGAAAAAAAGAGACAGTTGTGTCTATCTTTGTTTGAAATTATTAAAACAAATTAAAAAATTTAAAAGAACCAAATAGATAGAGCTTGTGAAGATGTCCGGAAAAGTTCATATCAGGGGACTGTCATATAACAAGATGCTCCCTTGCACCTAGGGCATGTGAATTTTCTCACAATAATAAAAGAACACGACGGTGTTTAAAAACAAAATCACACCATTTGTTGTGCACAAAATAGAATTCCAAGCCTTAACTTTTTGTTTTCGTGTGGGCAAACAAAATGCAATCAATATATTTTTTAAAGTTAATCTGAAATGCAAAAAAATATATATTATGTATTATATATATATAAAATGTTATGGTTAACATTTCAAGGCAAAAATTAATCAAACATGGTGGGAGATTATTCCTTGGCATAATCTGCAGATCTTTTTCAGGTTAGGGGGAAAACCATTTTCACCAAAGTAGTTCAACAGTGAAATCCCCCAAAATGATCAAAGTGTTAGGGGTTTTAATCCCCATGTTCGCTGTGTGAGTGATACCAATGAATCCTCCACAGAGAGGCTCTGGGTCCACAGCAGCACTGTTATAAATGATTCAGGTTTATCCCACTGAAAGAACAAAATTAATTCCCTATGTGATAAACCTTGAGTAAATTTGCGCATGTGTAGTTACCAAATAGTGAGCACTCTTAATGGAAATGAATGACCTGGGTCATGACAAACTCTCCTGCCTTACAGTATGGTTCAGGCATTAGCCCTACTAATGAGCCACATCTGAAGATGCACAAAACTTAACAAAGAAATAACAGAGACAGCTTCCCAGCAAGGCACGGGACCATACTGGAAGAAAGAACACAATCGTTACAATACATTTACAGATGCAGAAATCACCGGGTCAGATTGAAAAGTTAAAAACTTTGCTCTCTCATACAACCCTCATGTATTTTATATACAGTATTTACTATGCTCGTCACACAACTGCTTCGGTCCATGTGTAAAGCAACATAATAAAATAATTAATTCCTGAAAAGCAGGAGCGTTGAGCGCTCCCCGTATACAGTACACAGGGGCTCACATTGATCATAAACTTGAAAAAGATGTGCCTGAGGTACTTGGACACCAGGTACCCTGAAGAATGTCAACTTTGAGTCAAGCTATGCAGAAGACCGGGACCTTAAAACTAGCTAAATGTAAAAAAGCTATGCGAGAATCAGAATTTGTCAGCATTGAGGTGAGGTCGCGTGAATTTATTAGACATACAAGAAAAAAAAAACATTTGTTTTAAAATGTCTGTCTTGAAATTACCTCACAAGCCTAGGCAATGATACATATGAATGTTGGAGACTGACTGTAAGTTTGCAAACTAAATATCAATGATTAGAGTATTTCATTTATTCACAGTTTTGCTCTGCAAGAGTTGTATTCTTAAATGTTTTTAAACATTCATTTATAATAATTAACTAATTTTAATTTATAGCGGTCCATGCAAATCCAACATGACCATTTTTATTTTATTTGGATTCCTGAATTTTACTGTAATGTTTTACTTTCATTTTAGCTTCAGACTGTTAACCAGTTAGTTGACTGCCAGGTACAATTCTATTTCATTTCTTGAAACAAATCCCAAAGCTAATATATTAATATAATGGAAAACTGATTCGAATGTTCACCTGTTGTTCTATGACAATGCTGCAGCTAAATTTCTTACCTGACTTTACAACAGGTTATTGACCTCTGTACACATATACAGTACCTGTGGATCGTGTGGAGTCTTATTCTTCTGCTGTGGACAGTGAAGTGTATCTTCATTTTTAATCTACAGATAACAGGTTGAGCTGTATCAATAATTATCTTAATATTCAAATTTAAAATACTGCAGATACTGCAGTGAAAAAGACCCGCTGCTTCTAAACTATAGAGACTGGCCTTTATGCTGTGGACTGTTTCAGTGGTAGGAAAGTTGAGATGCTCTTAGTGAGGACAACATATGCTAAAGAAACAAGTAATAGGTTTATTCCATGCTGAAAAGAGAAGAAAGAAAACACAACTTTTCGGCCGTGGAGCCTTCTTCAGGTGGGTGAAGAACCTGAAGAAGGCTCACACACATCAAGAACGCTCCATGGCCGAAACGTGTTTTCTTTCTTCTCTTTTCAGCATGGAATAAACCTATTACTTGTTCCTTTGCAGCCTACGCATGCTGACGCAGCTGCTCACCTGAACTACTATATGCTAAAGAATACACATTGATATCAGTCCAACAATTTGACACAACCTTCCTTATGTTTCTAACTGAATTCAGTGTAATGTTTTGATCATGTGTGATTCATGTGTGGCATGAGTCTGATATGGAGGAATCAAAGCTGAAAACAAAGCTCCGAATTCCCCAGAACCTGTTGTTTCGCTTCTAGATGAATCAAGCAGAAGACCCTTGTCGCCTTCCCTTGCCTGGTGCATGCGTCAGCTGGAGAACAAAAACCCTGAAGAGGGTACTGGCCGCCTTGTTTGGAGTTGGGTTGCTTTTTTGTTACACAGTTGCTAAAAAAACATAGATCCTTCTGTGTGTGCATGTTCTGTTATTCTCCAGCCAGTGCGATTACAAGGACAGAAAATCACATTACATGAAGCACAAATGACTAAAATTGCCAGAGAATATCTGTTTCCTCCTCTTTTGACATTTAAGCCTTTTTTTCTGAAGCGTATTGTTAATTGAATGTGATAACATAGTTATATGTTAACTGTACATTGAGTGATATAAAATAAATTACTGTAGCTTATCGGGTGGTATTTTTCTTTTGATCTGTTTCTCTCAAGCAGTGGTCTGTTCGTGATGTCTTTTTTTTCTTGATAATGTTTGATTGCTGCATTTTGCAAGGTTTACCTTGACAGTATGTATACACGCGAATCTTGGGTATGTAGATTTATGAGTGTTATCAGATATCACTTCTGATTTCTGTTTTTGAGTCATTTGTATAATGGTATAGAAAGCGAATGTTCACCTGATCTGTTCATTTTGTGCTGATTTCCATGTATGACTGAAGACTTTTGTTGTGCTAATGCACTTTGCAGAATTTAAAAATGATTTAATTAGTGTGAGCAAGTTTAGGAATGGTTTCTGCCGTCATTGTTAATGCTTTTTTTTAAACCACAGTTTTAGATTTACAATATTAAATTTATGGGGAAACCTGCAGTGTAAATTAATTTGACTTATTACTGGAGTTATAGATCAAACAGTGCATTTATATGGTAAAGTTCACTGTTGTAATTCTGTCCTTATACTGTATGTTTATTAAGCCATTGGTGTAGACTGTACTAATGGTAACCCTGTAGTGATTCCTTAAATAAACATAAAATCTGGCTTAACAAACCTGGCAGTATTTCTGGACCTATTTTTCTCCAGAAATGCTGAGCATATCCATACCTTTTTTTTCTCTCATGTAAAAAAGGATATTTGCTGTGATTGTGTGCTTTCATTACAACTTGAACTTGTAGCTGTAAAAATAAAATTCTGTCTTCTCTTTAAACCTCTTAATTTACAAAAAATGGCACAGTTAGCCTGAGTCAGTATTGCCAGTACTAGCTAGAGGCATAATCCTGGGCAAATGAGCCACAAGTGCTACAGACCAAATCAGAACAAATTGGCAACAATACCAACCATATAACCCAAACTATACTTGCTTAAATTTAGTTCGGTAGACACTGTCCTGTTTTTTTGCAGTTTTTGCTGAAATAAAGAGACTTTCAACTTAGTTCATGCCTTTTTAACAAATTTCTTTTGTTAGGCAGAATTTGTAAACAAAAATTACAAAAATTAGTTCTGTAAGTATGTTATTTTTATTTTACAGTTAGAATTCCTATTTTATAGACTTTGAAATATATGACCACTGTGCTACTATATGTAACAGTTGTCCACGAATAGCATCCTTTTAACTTCTTGCAGTTTAAGATATAAGATTAAACTACCGTATATTCAGTTTCTCACTTCCAGCTGTCATTTTGTTAACCCTTAAAGTAGTTCTAGGCAAAGCATTGCTTGGAAATGCAATAAATGTAAAACCATTCAAAAATGTGTGTGGAATTGTCTTTCATTAAATTGTGTATATGCTGATTGTTTCAGCTTTTGAGAAGCTAAGGATAGGGGATTCCAATTTGACTGTTAATCTTCTTCATCTCCTCGGCTGACAAGACCCCCAGATACAAAGAAATCGTTCAGATTAAATCGGTTACGTAAACTGGAGATCAAAGACTGCGGAAACGCGGTGTGACAATTCCACAGATCGCAAAAAGTTCAAAAGAATGTTATAATCCAGTTTAAGTGCGCACATCACTAATAAAGTATACTTTTTCCTAAATAATACACATTTGCTGCAATAAACAAATTCTAAAAATGTGTTAGATTAATAACGATGGCGAAAGTAAATTTAGTGTTATATTCAGTTCCAGTTTACTTTTCGGGTTTGTTTTCGGAGGTCATTTTGATGAAAATCTTTATTTCTTTTGTACGACATTAAGAAAAAGTCCGTTACCACACTCCCGAAAGTTCTTAACTATTTTTTCCTGGAAGCAGTTTACTGTATACCTTGCTTATTGGAAATCGGCTAAGCTTGAATTTATTGTCAAGGTAGCTTCATCAGATACAAGTCGATTTTTTCCACTACATTCCATCCACGGGGATGTCTGAGCCCTCCCCTTGTGTAAGCAATTTATATCCGATACCAGCTAGTGGGTATACCCATCTTAATGCCCAAATCTTTCTCCGGCGTGTACAGACTACGGGTCTCTTCTGCTCTTCTTCAGAACGCCTAAATCAGCCATCCTGAATCTAGTCCCTATAAACTATTGTACAATAGCATTATTAATCTGCAGTTTTATAAACAGAGTAGTGTTGCTTCTTTTTTCTTTGATTTTGACCAATGGAAATAATTAGAAAGGCGTGATTGAATGTAGCTCCAGCTAGCAATTGTTGTATAATGAACTTAATGCCCAGCGGGATATGTTTTTATTTCTCTGTAGCTATCTGTTGGTTCACCTCAAGGGTCGACTCATCTTGGTGGTGAGTATGTACGGAAATGTTCGGGTTTTATGAGATTTAGTAGTGTTAAGAAAATAAAGTACACTTGTGATCGCTTTTTAGAAAATTCGTGAGAGGGAAGGGATTATAAAGGCTGCTATCTCCTCAAGACTAGTAAGAGCTGAAACGTTTTGTAACGGGCAACTTTTTCATGTTTTAAATTACATCCGAAAGATTCTGGTTTTCCGAATATTACTATGCGTTATCATACCTCTTCACAACTTTAACTTCCTGCATGTAAAACAGGACTGTTACTTTTTCAGATTTTTTTCCCTTAAGAAATATACAGTATTCCTTTTGCGTTTAAATGTTCATTTCATAGCCCTCACTTGAATTCTGTAAGCCTTTCGCTAAATCTCACGATCACTTCAACATACTAACGTGAGTTTTAAATTGTGTAGATTTTGTGAAAACAACAAAAAAGGGAAATGTATAAATAAAATAAGTTCATCTTGTCTTTCGATTTAGAAACTCGACTGAGCTCGACTAGTATTTTGAATTCAGGTCGGTACCTCAGGTGGAGGTGAATGTAGGAGACAGCACTAAAACATGAAGCTTCGGTTTCTCCTATTGACTTTTTATTAACTATAAAAAAGTCATCTGGATTTCTGAAGGAAAATCTTTCCTTTACATCTTCGATGCAGGTACATGGGTACTCTTGGATCTCAAGTGATGTGCGACAACATTCCTGGTTTAGCGAACAAACAGCGCCAATTATGCCGTCAGCATCCCAAAATAATGCATTGCATTGGAGCTGGGATTAAAGATTGGATTGAGGAGTGCCAGCATCAATTTCAGCATCACCGCTGGAACTGCAGCACCATTTCAAGGGACCATACCCTCTTCGGCAAGCTCCTTCTCCGAAGTAAGTCCTGTAATGAGGGGGAGGCATCATATTTTGGAATTAGGACATTCTCATTACATTTAGTGTAGTTTTGTAATGTTCGAATCATTACCAGGTAACATCAAAATATAGAAACATTTTCAATATGTTTTTCTTATAAAAAGGCGAAAGTGATACGATATACTGTGATTAAGACAGAGGTATAATTAAGCCCCTGAGAAACCAGCATCATTAGGGGGCTTTTAGTAGTCTTGGGATCGCGACTAGAGGTTTAAATAGTGTTTTCATTAATTGTACCAGAGCACGTACAATTCTATTACGTAAATTTCACGCCCTGTTCTTCAGAGAAAAGAGGCAATAAACAAGGAGTATTACGTTATTATAATTTATTAATAAAAAAAAACATGCAAAGAAAATGTATTTTCATCTCTTCGAATATGCGATTAGAATCACCACTTGTAAACAGATAATATTAGTTTTACGCAATTAAGCGAATCAACGCACATTTTATATTTTCGGATGTATAAAATATTTAGACTACGATTTATTTTTTTCAGGTTTTAGATACACCTCATGAAACAATGTCTAGCTCTGAAAATGTAGTATTCATTTTTTTCGTTTACAAAATGTATATCGAGAATAAACGATCATTTTATTTTAATAAAAAACATTGCTGTGTAAGGTGATCTATACTACTTTATTAAATCCTGTAACCTTCCGTAATGACAAATTGCATTTTTGCGAAGGAGAAATATCATTTATGCTGTTAAGTAATATGTAAATATTTTTAGCGCATAATACAAAGTGATTTTGGGGGTTAAATTGTAAAATATTCGAGAAGCATGTTTTTTTGCTTTTCTTTGCACCGACAGAACGCAAGATTTTTGCCATTTTGTACATCCTTAAAATATAATTTGAGAACCTTGGTAAATTGTTCTAGTCACAAATGTTGAAAACAAAACAATATATCAAGTATATTTTATTTAGATAAAAGATTAGGTCTTTGTGAAAGTTCACTTAATCGGATTGCGTCATTTAAGAATCTTGTTTTAAAGGGAAATTGGACATTCATCATTTAGTCTGGAATTAAATATTTCACTGCACTTCATTTATCTCATGATATCGGCGTTTTAATACCCTGCCAATGTTCCCTTCGAAAGGTGGGCTTTATGACAACAATGTCTCTAATATAAGACTAATTTTTTAATGGATTTATTAAATCCTTTTAAATTCATAATTTCAGCAGTCGAGTCAGAGCCCACACCAACTCCAATTTAATCTTCTTTGCAAAGTATTCAGACCTCCCATACAGACTTAAGTCCTTTTAAAAATGAATTATAAAGGTGATCTGATTGGCAGCACTTCGTCACAGCACCATGAGGATCTACTTATTGTCAATGTCAGGACCCTAATTTCAAACAATTGCAGGGATTTTGTAGCATTCCCAAAAAAGGAGGGACATTACAATAAACATTTCCTTTTAAATATGGAACACTGGAGCAAGGATCTAGTTATCATCCTGTCACACTTGTCTTTCTGGGAAACTATTCGAGAAGCATACTGTATAAACACGGCTCTCTAATTTTAACAGATTTCATAGAAGTCTTAAGCATACCGCAGCTCCACAAGTGGGTTTTAATCCTGGCAGCACTGTTCCTCTGGAATCCTACTAACACTCATTTTATTCTCAGAAAGCTTTGATCAAGCATTATCTCTGCCACCAGCAGAGGAACTAGATCAGACAAGGATATTTGTGGAATTTCATTGTACTCCCAAGAACAGTTCTAAAATGAACACATTAAGTCCAAACATCCAGGGGATTTCACATTTCAGATCAGACAAGATGCTTTATATACCAATGGTGTGAATATTTTTTTAAGGGGTTTTATTACTTTTTAAATTTATACCTGTACATTTATAAACTAACCACAGTGCAAATGAGAATCCCATAAAACCAACACAAGTCCTGTCTGCATATACACTTTTCTGTGAAAATACTAGATGTCCCAAAAAGCGGATCGTTCTACACCCAGCAATTAACACCACAACACATTGTGGCACTGACTCCTTTAGATGTTACTGTCTCTGTCATTCAGTAGCTGCTTGCAGCCTGAATTCTGCTTACTGTATTTTATTTTGGCCGCCAACCACATAGGCTGTCTGAATTGACACATTCACCAGGTTTGCTGTTGCTTTCAACAATGCATCAGAGGTGTGCACCAAAGCTTGTCTTGCCAATTTACTTACGTTAGCACTGTTTCCATAGCAGAGCATCGTGAGGAAAAGTCCTGGTCTGCTACTACTTTACCGTCTTCAAGAATTATGCAGGATATTACATGTGTGGTCACGTGTTTCACAGGAGGACACGTGACTCCTGTGAAACATACTATTGTCTATAAAATTGCAAGGGTACTATTCCTATAGGTACTATAGCTGCTCCTCCCTAGTAAACTTACCTGTCAATAACGTGCCTCAATTAAAATGAAACTGCAACAAAAAGCCATTGTTGGTAATATATTTTAACAGCTGTGAAACACTGAAATCAACATCTAAAACTAATGAAACAGCACCTCATCATGATTGCTCTGAGAATCCAAATATTGATACGTTGTTCTTTCATCACTACCTGATTGAAAAATGAGGTCACAATCAGATCTTCATTGGATGCCTTCAAAACCTGATGTTGCTGAAAGAAATGTATTCTAAACATGAATTATCTTTGGTAGTGGAACAGTCAATGAAAAAAGGGCAGATAAAACAGCCTTGAGTGATTAAGGCTCTGTAGTCTGTAGTCTGGTTGAGTCTGGTTGAGGGGGTTAATTTGTTTTGTGTCTCTTTCCCAGGCAGTCGTGAAGCAGCGTTTGTGTATGCCATCTCTTCTGCCGGAGTGGTGCACACTCTGACCAGGGCCTGTAGCCAGGGGGAGCTGGAGCCCTGCTCCTGTGACCCAGAAAAGAAAGGCTCTGCTAAGGACAGCAGGGGCTCCTTCACCTGGGGGGGCTGCAGTGACCACATCGACTATGGGATCAGGTTCGCGCAGGCCTTCGTTGACGCCAAGGAGAGAAAAGAGAGGGACGCCAGGGCCTTGATGAACTTGCACAACAATAGAGCAGGGAGGAAGGTATTCCCTATCGCATCCATTTTCTAACTGCTGCATCCATTACAGGGTTTTAGGGGAACCAGAGCCTATCCAAGCATGCAACAAGCCAGGATGCACTCAGGATGGGATGCCAGTCCATCACAGGGTAGACACATGAGGGCCACTTTTCCACGCCGCCAATTAACCTAGCAGTATGTTTTTGGACTGTGGGAGGAAATCAGAGAGCACCCACAGGAAACCCAAATGAACACAGGGAGAACATGCAAACTCCATGCAGATAGCACCCCAGGAATTAAACCCAAGGCCTCAGCACTGTGAGGCAATAGTGCTAACCGCTGCACTTCCTTATACCCCATTGATCAGCGTTTGATTTTACTTTTCCACTAATACATTAACAAAAAAAAGTTTGAACAGAAATATGACTTCATCTCAGGCCTTGTTGTTGAAGCCCAACAATGGCTTCTGTCAGACAATAGTAGTTCAAGTAGGTAGCTGTGTCAGCATGTGTAGGCTGCAAAGGAACAAGTAAAGGTTTATTCCATGCTGAAAAGAGAAGGAAAGAAACACAACATTTCGACCGTGGAGCCGTCTTTGGGCGTTCTGTCAGACAATGACTGGCTGAGATCTTTCTACTACTGGGCCCAATGATCTCCTCTCGTTTGTAACTATCTTCATAAAAATACATAAGTAAACTTTACATGATGATCAGAGTCTTTTCAGAGATTTCCAGTGCTGTAAAACACTGAGCGCTGAGCCTATTGCAGATAATGAAAGCTTTGTTTTTTTTTAAACTGACAAAATATTCATTATTTTAATAGTACATTAAATATTCTATTTTCATAGGACATATAATATTTTAGACCTAGGATAGAAATACAATGTGCTGTATATGTACTATATTTTAGCTATTGTCAAAAGGGGTATAAATAGTGTCACTTTTTCTCCAATGACTATACAGTACTCTTAGGACAGCCACCCTTTGAGTGCAAATTTACATGTTACATGTAAATCCTACAAATTATGCAACAATAAGAGCTGATTGATTTTTTTTTTATTCTGAAAGGTCAGTATGTATGTCTTACAAGGGAATTCTGTATAGCCGTTAGGTTTTATTGACATGAAGGCCAGGGAGTGACTTCACCTCTTCACCCCTGACAGGCGGTGAAGCGCTTCATGACACTTGAATGCAAGTGCCATGGTGTCAGTGGATCCTGCAGTGTGAGGACCTGTTGGCTGGCTATGGCCGATTTCCGCAAGACGGGCGAGTACTTACGCAAGAAGTACAACGGAGCAGTGCAGGTTGTCATGAACCAGTATGGAACTGGATTCACTGTCGCATACCGAGCGTTTAAGAAGCCAACTAAAAACGACTTGGTGTACTTCGAAAACTCTCCGGATTACTGCATCAGAGACCATGAAGTTGGTAAGTCTGATCTGTGAAAAGAACCTTCCCATCCATCCATTCATTTTCTCACAGCTGTATTCAGTTCAAGGTCACAAGGGAGCCAGAGCCTGTCTTGGCAAGCAGCGGGCGAAAGGCAGTATACACCCTGGATGGGACACCAGTCCATCACTGGGTACATACAGACACAAACACAGACACACTTACACTTCAGGCCAACTTTCCCAGAAGCCAATTACCCTACTGGCATGTCTTCCAAAGACAGTCTGAAGACTTCAGCATGTCTTCAGACTGTCTTTGGAAGGAAATCAGAGCACCCTTGAAGAAACCCATGGAGAGCATATAAACTCCACTCCTCACAAACAGCACCCTAGAACCAGAAGTGAACCCAGGGCCCCAGAACTGCAAGACAGCAATGCTAACCACTGCGCCACCCTAGAAACATAGTTTAATGTCTAATTTTATTTTTTAACCCATTAATGATACTAAATCGTAACCTATAACTATACCTATAACTAACTGAGACAATGGTTTTCATAGATTGCAATTGGTTTATTGTTTATGTCCGTAAACTCTGGGATGTTGAAATAAAAGCTTCACCAGATTGTAGCCTGATTTTTGGTTTTGGTCAGTATTTAGATGGGAGAGCTCTAAGGAAACCCAGTGGTGTTGGTGCACCAAGTGGCACAACTCCCTCTGTACCGAATTTCCAAACACAGGGACAGTGCTGTTGTACTGTTGTACTGTTGGAAGGAGTAGGGGTGTTAACTCCAGTACTTCTCTGAAGGTCTGGCTTTAATCAGTTTTACTGTTAAGAATTTGTGAAATTTGTACATAGTAGGGCTGCTGGCACATAATGGCTGCCACACATCAACAGGTGAATGGAGAATTGTATTGATGGAAAAGTGGGTCTCCTGTATGTAAAGGCGAAGTTCTCGATAAATTATTACATTTAATTTCAGTTAAAAGTTAATTAAATCTTCACTTAAGTAAATCTGCACCAACTGGAGCAAAGATTTAAGGCACTGGTGTTGTGCCAGCTCTGCTTATCTTAATAATTATCTAAAAAAACTACAAATAAGCACCGTATATTTGATTGCTTGCATTCCACAGTTGCACAGATAACTATTAGAGACTGGCGTCTGGCTTTGTAAATGAAAAATCAGGGGAGATTTTACATTTTATCCCATTTGTATCTCTAAAGGAAAACAGTTAAATTGATACTATAACAACCAGTTTCTGAAACACAGACAATTTACACCGCCCCATTTAGACGAATTGTAGAGTGTGATTTACATTAAGTGGTCAAATTGGCTTCACTGTAGTGTTTTTAAAACACCAGTGTTTAATCTTATTAGCTATTACACAAATGAATTCAACGTCTTTCTTACATAATGTTCAAAGTGCTAAAAAAGAAAAAAAGAAAAGCCCTAAACATTTTTTCCTTTATCTGTTACATCACATTTGCATTAGAGATGTATTTTGTAAAAAGAATGATATCTGTCAAACAGCTGTGCAGTATGAAATGATATTGACCGTCAGATAACTGAGCATATAACACACATTACATACCTATCTGGCACAACCTGTAGCAAGACAGGAGATGAAACACAATCTGAATCCTGGCTAATATAAATTATTTTTTGTGATGGGTGTTTGAAATGGGTATTGAGCCCCTGCCATGCCCTAACTTGTTGAGCGTCTGTCTAGAAACAGGCATATTTCTGGTGGAAGGTCATGTCTGTCTAGGATGAACTTGTATGAAATGTACCCAGCAGTACAGGATCATCATCAACTTTGACTTCAGGGAAAATGTGTTTTATAGCCACAGGTGGCTTCATTAATGTCAGTGCCTGGGACATTCTGAAAGAAATTCCATTATTTTTTAAAACTGAGATGTTAAACAAACCATTCAGTACTTTTCAGATTTCTAAATTGATCTTAAAGGGAGATTGATCACACATGGATACTTGTTTTCTAAGAGGTTGTTCACCTGATTTCTAGTAAATTTCACATCACATCACTCAACAACACATTGAAAAAGTCCAAGAGCCAACACTTCTTCTGGTCTTGAAAGAGTCCAAAGGTTTCCACCAGGGCAATGCAAGACCCCATTGCTAGGATAACAATGGCACAACCTCAAGAAAACCATGTTGAGGCCTTGCCGAAGTCCGCTTTCTCTCCTGACATGAGTCCAGTAGAATTTATATAGAACATCTCTGGGATCAGTTTTCCAATGCCATCAGCTGGAGTCAAGAGGCCAGCATGACCCATCAGTATTCAGCAAGAGGCTACACTGGCACAGATTGGGCATTGGAACATCAGTCAACTGATGAGTTGACTGATGTTGATGTTGACTGATGTTGACTCTAGGCTAACTAGAGGCTGATCAGGTCAACACTGTGGAGATAATGTGGTGGTCAGGCTTGATACTGTATGTCTCACACTGAAAACGTAATTCTATTTATTCAGTGTTAATACTTGATAAAATCTATTAGACCCCATTATTGCATTTTTTTTTTGCTTCAGTATGCCTGGTCACACTGCCATCACAGGATGGTGAATGTGATCATCAACCTGACGCCATGGTATTTTTGTCACAGGGTCTGTGGGCACAGGTGGCCGTTTATGCAACCGGACATCTCGCGGCGTGGACAGCTGTGAGGTCATGTGCTGTGGAAGAGGGTACGACACCTCCCGAGTCACCAGGATGACCAAGTGTGGCTGTAAATTTCATTGGTGCTGTGCTGTCCACTGCAAAGACTGCCACGAGGTTGTGGATGTGCACACCTGCAAAGCTCAAAAAAGTGCTTACTGGCTGGACCAGACATGACACCTGACCACAGTACAATAGGGATGTCATTTCACACCTTGATATCCACAGGTGGAGGCTTCTAAAGATGTTTCCTTGGTAATGGGAGTAACTCCTCTTGTGGTTATGGCTGTCCTACTCAGAACTGCTTACCACAACCAAACTGAGACAGAGCATACAGAAAAAAGCTCTAAGTAGACCCTTACACGGGAGTAATACAAATTCAAAGACATTTTTAATTGTCCTCTTGCTTAAATACGTTTAAGGTGTAGAAACTATCTAAACACCAGAAACACCACATAACCCGTTCTTCTTCCTGATATACTGTTATATTGATATCCTATAGGATGGTGATATTTAAAGATTTCAATCTTACTTTCCTTTGTCCCTGGTACTGTATATACAGTACTGTTTAAACTCACTCATATCTTACACAAGTTCTGTGTATTGTAATTTTAAATATACGTTTCACATTGTAATTAAAAATAAAGATTATGTAACCTGCAATACCAAATGAGCTGATAAAGCTATATATCTGAAATACAAACAAAGGATACACTAGGTTCATGCTGTCTACAGATGTGAATACAATGAAATACTGTGTACAAGTTGCAGGGAAAAAAAAGCAATTAACAGCAGGTGGTTGCACATTTTCTTAGATTTGTATGATCAGATTCTCCTGCATCAAAATCTAAAAATACTGTACATCAGTGGAGAAAAAAACAACATTTGAGCAATTCTAGAGAATGACAGATTTGACAATTTGACAGTGTTTACAAACATGTAAATACCTTTATTTAATCAAAGAAAAAAAAAAACTAAAACCCAATGTTTCTTAATGATTACTAGAGCAGTTTCATCTATTGTGAAAATATAAGTCACTTTTGTGTTTTCATAAAGTATATTGCAATTATGTATTTTTATCTGCATGGTAAATTTAAAAAAGCCAAACGAATTCCTAAAATTCAAGTGATTTTTTTCTTAAGACAAACGTTAGTGACTCGTGATATATAGCAAATAATCCTCTTAGTTGTCTGAGAGTAAATATTTGGCATTTGCAGAACGGAAAGAAAAGCTGGAAAAAGAACAGCAAAAAATATTGCTCCCAAAAGTCAAGTGTCAAACGTTGTTCTCTGAAACTATGGAAAATAATTATAAGGAGGAAAATCAAAACAATCCACCAAAGAAGATTAAGAACCTGCATATATAAATTGTTTGGATGTTTGTTCAAGTATATATAGCCTAGAAATTAACACTGGAGTGTCGTGTAGTGGAGAAAAAAAAACACAAGTATTTAGATTTAATTTCAAGGCCGATTCACATATCAATCGGCTGCACAACAAGGTATAATATCACTTTAACATGTTCCTGTATGAACGGTGTGGAGCTGGGCTCATTGTTTCTACAATACTCACCTCCAAACAGTGGTCTTTTCATATATTGCTTGGGTGACCGTAGCACTCTCCACCAAGAGCCTAAGAAACGTGTTTCTCTTCCAGACACCAAACCAAATATTAACAAACAGCTTTAGACCCAGCAATCCGCTTGTTCGCAGTTGAAGGAGGGATTTGGGTAATGAATATGGGGGGGAAAAAAACCCAAAGTCTCGTATTGCAGCAATACACAAAAGTTTTTATTTTTCATTTTTTAGCTTTTTTTTTTTCCCTCTGAAGGCAAAGTAAAACTGAACATCACCTTTTTTTGTACAACAAAAAACAGGTTTACATGAGAACAAACAAAAACAAAAAGTCTTTAACTGACGGTCACCGTTTTCCCTTTCCCTGTAACACTTTCTTGTCGTCCACAAGAGTCAATGATCTTGGCACTAACACTGTGGCAGTAGTCCCTGCGTGTTCTAGATCCGTGTCAGCTGGTGCCACAGGCTGGAGGGTAGGATGTTCTCCACCTTTTCCATTATAAAGTTTAACGGTGCAAACAGGGTGCTGAGAAACTGCCAATAAATCCACAAAGAGATTTGTAAGTGCATGTCTTTTCACACAGCCCTAAGCAATGTACAACATATCTAGCATTTCAGAACTTAAGGTCTTAAAGGACAAAAGGTGAAATTGAGCCTGCTAAAACAGTTTTGCTCTTACCGTTCAACGCCACATTGCAGCATGGCATGAAGTTTTATTTATGATCTTGAATAGTTTACCAACCTAACCTTACATTTAAAATATACTGCTGATGATTAAAGCAATAAATGACATTAAAAGACATTTTAAATTGTTTTATATAAACCCCAAAAAGTAAATCTACACAATAGAAGGAATCTTTAGCAATTTTCTTTAACTTAATTTAGCCTAGGTTATGGTTTTAATGGAATATATATATATATGGAGTAGTTTTATTTTGTAATATTTCACTGGGACAGCGTTTATAGCATACCACTATGTCTAACAGAAATTCACAGCATCTGTGAGGACTACAGTCGCATCAGATCTATTTATCAGTGTGCTGTTCTTCAGCTGGCACCCTGTTGTTCTGCTAAAAGGTTAGAATTTCACCAGAGTGCTGTAACCTTCACACGAATTACTGCACAGCATTCTCACACCTGTTACCTCCGTGTTTATCCCTCATCAGAATGAAAGCTTAGAACAGGATTTTTTTTCTTCAGTCTAAACTTGCCCAGGACTTTGAAGTCTACATGTTTCACCCTTTGAAGTAGGTGAGAGAAATGACAAGCCATTAATCGATGATAAATGCACCGAAGGATTACTACCTGGCTAGATATGTACAGAATCCAGAATAGCATAAAGTGCATTTTACAGATGATTTGCCATTTTAATACTGATAACTTCTGAAGACTGTAGGTAGCATCCATAAATTATTGATACCTGGACTGTCAGTTGTCATTTTGTAATTTTACCCATGAAAATCTTTTCTTTCTTTTTACCCATTCTACCAAATGTTTTCTTTCTCGTGAACAGGGTCATGAAAGGGACAAAATGAATAGTGTACAAAAGAGAGCTGATGAGTTTAAAGCCTCATCAATGGATGATGAGCCTCATTCACAGAATTGTGATGGTCATTTTTGACACACTCCCAGGGAGTTTTTGACTGTGCTCTTTTGCTGGACATGGTAGAAAACGGGTCCAAAGAGTTGCAAACAATATCACAGAGGACATAATGAATGAGAAAAAGGGTCTGAAATAAAAAGGAGATCAGCCGCTGTTTGAATTAAACTTTAAAGGTGACAGTTCTGGAAAAGACTCTGTTTAAATTACCCCTGTTAAATTGTATAGAGTTAAAGTATCAACATATAAACAGTGTTTCAATGCTAAGTTACACTGATGCAACATAAAAGGTAGTTTGCCTTCTCATCAATCTGCCTTTCAAATAAGATATTTGAGCAAGGTCTGTTTATTTGGTCATTAAAGATTTCACAACTGTCTGAAAGAGCAGGGGTGTTAACCCACTGTCCTGGCTCAGTTGCATTCTGGGAATGAACAATCCTGCCTGCCTAAAACATTTAGTTCAAATGGGGAATCAATTTCTCGTTTCTCCTTCTGATCTGATGCAGGGGTCTGCTGATGCATAATGGCTGCTGCTTGTCTTCCAGGTGTGTGCTGCACTTGTGGATGAAGTGTGTCCTCCTCTCATTAAGTCATTTTGGGATCCTTTGCTATGGAAAGTGCTTTTACAAGCACTATTATTACCTGTTCAGGGTAATAATAATAAAAAAAACAATCCTGAAGTGCTGACTTGCTGATCTGGTCTTTAATCATGTAAAGCACAGTCTGATATCCTCAGTTGCTTTAAAGGAATCTATCTCTTCATTTAAGAAATAGTACTTGATCATGAACAGTGTAAGACCATCTACCTAGAGCTGAAATATCCTTCTTCAAAGCCCTGCTCCATATGAGGCTATTTTCATTATGTGATCAGTTACTGACCAAACAATTTGATCATGGGTAATTCTAAAACTATCACTCTTCATGGGTTTCATTTAAAAATTTTGAGTTATCTTTTGCAAAGGTAGTGGGTGAAAAATAAACATTCATGAATTGGTTATCACTATCCAGTCTGGCCAACAGAACTTTGAATGGAAGAAGAGTAGAGTGGGACAAAACGAAGCCAAGGTTGTTAAGCACAACTTTCAGATTAATGTGCAACAGACTAGGATCTTGAGCTAAATTTAGCTAGTGAGTGAGTCTCTCCCTGCCCCCTTCCCTAGGTACCCACTACCCAGCATCTGCATCTCAACATGACTTTGTTTTAATATTGTAACAATTGGCTCCTGTGTTGGCGGTGTGGGGAACGACAGGCTGGAGACAACTTTACAGACTGACTAGGTTTTATTGCCATTTTACTTACAGTGAGGCATGCTAATCACAGAGCAGGAAAATAACTGGAACGGCAGAGTGTGAAAGGGCAGGCATCCGTTGGGCACAGAGGAGCGATTCATGTTGATTATTTTAGCTGATTACTATAACTTTGTAATTAATGTTGTTTGATTTAATTGTTATTTTATTTGACGTAAAGGTGGTACATTAGTTCTTTAATTAACATATAACTTTAATTAAGGGCTAGAATAGGATATTAAAGGCAAATTTCGGCTATTCACTACAGTTCTCTGTACCGAACCCTTGCAAATACTGAGACCCTACTGTATACTAATTTCTCTACTTATATTGGCAGTTAGAAAAAATTAGGCTCTGTTTTTTTAATTCAGCCAAACCCAATCTGAGGTGTACTGAAGCATCATGCGGACATTACCTATATGAAATACAATTACTTCAGTCCTTATTTCAGACCGTGCTGACATGTGTTGACTGAGGACACGACGGTTATCCAACATCTTGATAGCACTTGATGTGTGTTGCACGTTATTCACATACTTTTAATGTTTATTATTTGAATGAAGTTCTAACAACTCTTTGATATGTTTTGCCAACATTTACAGTGAAGGATAGGGGCCTGTGGACTTGGATCTTGTTAAAGACAGGCTTTGAATCCCAGGTTACGGAGAATTAGCTTGGTTATGGATCAAAGGCAGAGCTTGAGAAAAGTCAGCAGACCTTAAAGACACTGCAGGGGTGGATTGGGCTTTGAGCCCAAAACAAAAACATATTCCTAAATTCAGTCACTTTTCCCAAAATAAAAAACTATGATTCAAAAAGGCATTTGTTTTTTTAATTCAGACATAAATCACCTTTATGTCAGATTATTGTGCTCAAATAAGAGGAATGAGGGCTACATGAACCCTGCAGGAAGTCCTTACAATTGTCATCAGATGTATTAAGTATCATACAGTAGAGTATAACCCGACAGTACAGTCATATCAGATCTATGCATTCACATGCACCGTGTTTCATTGGATGCAAATCGACCTGACTGAAGAGATTCACAGGCATGCTGATGGGTTCAGTGATGTACAGGTGATTATACAGTATGTGGCCTTCACAATTTCATTTCTTTCTTGGTTAGTTAGCTTTGAAGAGCCTTATCTTGAAGCTTACAGGTGCCTTGCAAAGAGAGTTACAATAAAATCCACTGAGCATCTCTTTTTCTAAAGCTGCTGAGACATTAACATCACATTAAGAATGCATACTAAAAAAATACAATCATTTTGGTACAGTATGTCATTTACCTTACATTAGCTTGTAATTCTAAAACCTCGATATTACAATCAGGTTTAAATAGGCCAGGATTAAACAGGTGGGAATGTGTGATGCGTCTTGAGATGTCAACATAACACAGTTCCTCATACATACTTACAGCTTTAGCAAATACCCCCATGAGCTCTGGGAACTGGTGTGTGAGTAGTGCGAGCATTGCTGTGAAGGAGCACAAGCCTGCTGTGAAAAGGATGAAGAAAGGCAGCTCTTTCTTGGGGTAAACTGAGACTTCATGAAACACTGTATATAAAGAGTGAAGGAAAGAAAGACAAAAAGGCTGGGGTTAAGGATATTACTTAAAACTCATTTAAAAAAACCAACAATTATTTCAGTCCGCTGTTATATAATTTGTAATGCAATATCTCTAGACGATACGACATTAGAGGCCTAGTTTAGGGCTTAAATTCAAGCTAATCACTGATTAAACCAGATACACAAAGCCAACTGCCAACCAGTTCTTATAAACATTCCTCCCATTCACACAGCACTCATATACACATGTATCCACTTTAGCTTTTCAATTCAGAGTAGAGCGCAAAACATCTTACAGGGCAGGAGCTCTCTGTCGGCTGTCTCTGTGCAGATTGGGTAAGGGTAGAAGAGGTGGCCTTTCTCCAGAGGATAGGGGATCATTCGAAAAGCTGAGGGAGACATGAGGAGCAAACTAAACAACCCGGATCTATCTCACACGGCAAACATGAAAAGGTGGCAGTCCATTCAAACACAGCACAGTAAGGGACATTTTTTAGAACATGGGATTTACTCCATTTTAAATCATTTTGCTACTGTTAATTCTAGAGTCAAATGCTGCCGCCCCTCCAGGTTGCCAGTACCCAGTGCCACTCACACTGGGTGAGGCAGGGAACTGCAGCCATGAAAGGTTTGACAGGAATAGGCCGAATACAGTGATCTCTGCTATTACGCGAGTTTTCAAAACAGGAATTGGCTCGTACGCGAAAGGTAAATAGGGGAAAGATGTCTGTACGGCGCGAAACTCGCATTGGCTTATACGCGATGTCATCCCCAACATGTTTACTTTTTGCATCACGGAGTAACACAACTGAAGACAACGGTCCGCGGAGGAATAAACATGCTGCCCAGTTGTCCCACATGCTTTGGTTTGGAAGTGCTAACTGGGAGGTGCTCCTCAATTTTCGTGAAATATTCACTAAATCTTCCTCATTGCTGTAAATATGAGTGGACAAGGCAACAAGAATGCGTCTAAGAAGTATGCTGGTGATAAAATTTCAGGTGGTGAACCTAAATTTACTGTAGCACAGTATTTCTTTATTATGAATTTAAAATGTATTTCAACTGTGCTAACATTTTTATTAGGATAATTATTAAATTTGGTAAAGCTTTGTTGAGGCATTTGGTTAGGTTTTGAGTGGTCTGCCCCTCACCCTATTTTTCCCATAATCCCTGTAATTTTTATTGCGCAATTTTGCATAACACAAGGTTTTACAGGAACGCATCTATCGCGTTATAGCAGAGACGCCTGTACTTACTCCCTTCCCAGGTACAGTGCAGGAGGTTCAAAGCGCCTTCCACTCTTTTCCAGTGCTGAAGATGAAAGAATGCATATGCTATTGCTTCACTGTCCCCTCTCTTTAGAATATGCTCTGGTGGCAGTATTAAACTTTTCATTTCTAAGAGGTACTACAAAAGACAAAAAACAGGATACAGAAGTTATTTGCAAACTTGCATATTCCGAACAATAGCTTGGTATAAAAAGAGAGAAGGCCATTTGGCCCATTGGAAGATTTAGAGTTAATTGATCCAAGGATTCAGGGCACTGGTTTCGACAGCAGGGCTGGGGAACACGTTCCAAGCTTCCACAACCCTCCTGTTTTTATTTTAAACATCTTAGTAGTTTCCACACATGCACTCTGGTTTCACTTCTTGGTATCTACCGGTAAAAATGCCTCAGAATTCAATGTGTTAAAAAATGTAAAAAAAAGAAACCTATGACATGATTTAAGAATTCTAAACGCCTACATAGCATTTCTTCTGTGCACTCCTGTATAAACAATCATGAAGAAAGGCGGAAGTTGATGTATTTTTCTTCAACATAATTTTTACATTTGACTAGTTTTACAAATTCAACATATCTTCCAATAAGAACCATAAGACAGCTATGTTGTGAGACCATGTATACATTCGGAATAAAATATGCCTTGACAGAAATCATTGTTTGGGTATTCAATCTACATGGCTGAAAATAGAGAGCAGTTCAAGAAAAAATACCCTGACTTAAAAGACTATTCTGGATTAGTGTGATGTGTATATGTATATATGTACAGTATAGCTATGTACTGTTCCAATAAAGACTGGATGACAAATATGGAGAATCTCTAAACAATCATCCAGTAAATTTGGTACATGAGAAGTGTAATGGAAATGCATTTCACATGAAAACATCTGTTAGTGAAAAAGCAAAGCACCCAAGAAATATACAGTACGTGTATGTCATGAATTTGCTGAAGTGCAGTGTTCTTGGAACACATGCTGTAAAGATACAGTTTTTAAGAAGCCAGGCTAAACAATGTCCCACACACAGTGGTGTCATGACCTTCCTATGAGAAGTGTAATCAATAGCTGGGTATGCATTAAGCTAGAACTGTACAAGTCTCTGCAATGAGACTTTCCATGTCATAGAAACACCACTAGTACATTTCTGAGATGGTATATTGTGTATCATAACATGCATTACAGGACAAAGTAAGGACATCCACATTTAACAATGCTGGTACAAGACAGATGGTTCAGGCTCCATCTGTCTCACCTTCAAATAGCAGCTACAACAGCAGAACACTGCCTCGCATCCGGACTCCATTCTTAAACCACCAATCAATAACGTTTCATGAACACAGCACTGGCGACTGACCTTGTGACTTTCACAAGTCACAAAATTTGTTTTTCAATAATTCAATGGCTATAAAAAAACTGCTTACATTTTAAAATTCATGTTTTTTTGCAGGGAATCACAAAACTGAACATAACAGTTTTATGAGTTATAGTGAAGGTAAGTTATTGTGCGGTGTCTTAATATAGTACCTCAATACACCATTTAGTCATTCCATACAGTTTATTTCTTGAAACAGTACATATTACAATTATAATACAGAATATTATAATTATGTAGTACACTATATTAAAATATAGTAAATTATAATACAGTACATATTGTACTGTATCTCAATACATGCTCACCGAGGTGTATACTGTATACACATTCGACTTGTAATGTTTACACTTGAGTGTTTACTTGGTATATACATTGCTCTCTCTGTGATACTCACTTTTGGTACGTGTGGGTTAAACTCTACTGCTCTGTGTATGGCTTCTACCGCGTTCATCTCTGCAGTGCTCAGGCCTCTCCTAGATGCAGCCTCTGGAGAGAACCTGAAAGGAACAGGTTGTCAGGACTAAGCTTGTCTGGCAAAAAATACAAAGCAGGAAGCAAATCCACAACTTCCTAAGCCTCAAATACAGTGCCTGTAGAAAGTCTTCAGCCTGAAATTGAAACACACAGAAGCAGGATTTATTTGACCTTTATTTACTCGTCGCAACACCCAGTCTCCAAGTGAAAAACAGACGCTCAAACATTCAGAAAAGTAATTACAAATGAAAACCTAGAGAAATTAGTGTATACTCCCCTTGGCTACAGTGATTGTAAACAAGCTCAGGTCAGATACGTATATATATTTTTATGAATCAGAACTGCTGAAGTTCTTTTATCTTGTATTAACCCAATCTGGAATAACCGATTGTAACTTTCATATATCGGCTGACAGCAGTGGCCTCAGTGCCACCACAGGAGAACAAGACAGTGCAGACTCTTCTAATCTGCCCACCCATGGTGCTATCTATCTTTTGACTTGCTGAAAACCCTACAGTGACCTACTGTACATACATTCAGGGCGGACCTGGATAGAGATCCCTCCCTCACACTGCCACCAGCTTATTAGCACCTGGGATGTTACAGCAATTACATTTTTGTCCCATGTCCTGGGTGACACATCCTATCCAGCCAGCGATGATCTGTGTCCTGTCACACAGTGGAGTTCTACGCAGTGTCTCCTGCTGGCATAGGCCAGGCTCAGACTTGCAACACAATGTTTTAATGTTTAATGTTTCTTTATTAGCCCTATACAATTTCTTGCATTAGGAATGCGTCTTTTCGCATACCCCAGCTTTTCTCCAGGGAGACACAGAGACAGGGAGAAAAGCTTGGGGTCAGAGCGCAGGGTCTGCCATTGTACGGCGCCCCTGGAGCAGTTGGGGTTAAGGGCCTTGCTCAGGGGCCCAACGGAGTAGGATTCCTCTGCCGGCCGCGGGATTTGAACATGGGTTACAGAACCCAGTCTGAGCTCAAAGTTATCACCTTTATCGGTTCAGCCAAACAGGAGTACCATTGGGATGGGAAAATTGCATTTTGGTCATTTTTAACCCAGAATACAAAACTGGTAAACATCACTTATATTTAACATCTATTAATTTATCATTTCTCTTAAAATGCCATTATAAAATGAGACCCAGTGTAACCCTAATTTGCTTATCCTTCAAGCACCCCACAGTTAGGAAATATTTCATAAAAGCTACATCTTTCCATTTAATTTCATGTAATGTGTTGAAGTTCTTTCCACTCCTAGATGCATCAAAGCATACGATCTTTTCAAAAGCTTGCAGGCAAAAATTATGTTTCCAATAGAAAAGAACACTTACTTATCTGACACAGCCCTGGCTTTGAGAAGAGCTGCTGTGTAGCATATTGTTGCTGATTTGGGTAAGCTAATATCTGTGAAAACACAAAAAGGATCATATGAGTGTAATCCCCAAAAAGGGTCCTAAAAAAATCATTATGCTCCTTTTGTAATATGGATATTGAATAATAAACCCTGACATGAGTGTATTCCTGTAGGAATATTCACTTTTAGCTGCGGCATTTACTGTAGATAGTGTCGATCATGTGGTTTTTGAGTACTTCATTTTCATGTTGAAATGAACCACTAATGCCCAGTTAATATAAATTGAGGCAGCAGTATGGACTAGTGGCCAGGGCTCTGGACTTGTAACTGGAAGGTTGCGGGTTCAAATTCCAGGTGATCTAGTACTCATGACCATGGCACCTCAATCAGATTGCTTCAGAAAAACACTCAGCTGAACAAATGGGTAAGGATATAAAATATATTTATATAAAAATATAAAAGACTGATAAAACCCTCAATCAAATTACCTATAAATTGATATGTCTGTGTATTTATACTGTACCAACAAAATAGTGATTACAGAACTCACCACTAGAGGGCGTATTTTCTTTCAGCCTGAAAGTTGATTGTGTGTATATACAATATATATACAATACTGTATATAGGCGATGATACAAAAGATGGAATAATAAAAATAATAAACTTAATTTTAAACGTTTTCTCAAAGCACCTTATAGTATAAAAGGGGGCTGAGATATCAAAGTACAACAACAAAGTCTGTAAAGGAGAGAAGGCCATTAAGCCTATCTGTCTCGCTTAGTGGTTACAAAACAATAGTTGTAAAACTCAACTTATTTCCTTTATATCCAGGATATGTAGAAAATAGTGTTCCATATTACTAGTTATAATGGGTAACTGCAATACAAATTTCTCAGACTGGTTATTTTAATTTCAGTAACAAATTAAAGTAATAGTAATTTACCAGTAACAAAAAAAATTGCAAATTTTGTACTGCAAATTTGTATACATTTCGAATGACATGCAAAACCGTGAACTTTGCAAAAATAGTGTTGTTTCCGTGTGGCCGCAGGCAGATGGGAACCGCCGGTCTCAACACGGGTTGCTCTTTTTTGCAAAACGTAAAAGTATCTAAAAACCATGTATGTGTCGGTTTCATTAAAATGTTTACTCTTTTAAACAGCAGCAAAATCTGTTTGGTCTAAAGCATGTTTACAACGTTTACAATGTAACAGGTCCCCTTTTGCGTCATCTGACGTGTTGTTGCCTCGTTCTGAATCGCCGACAATGACGGCAATATGACTCTATGGATACATTGAAAACTTGATTCTTTAGTGATGTAAATTGGAAGCTGTACACGTTACTGTGTACTTGGTAGTTTCATTGTATCATGCGTCATTGCTGATTCATTAAAACCCCCGAAATGTAAAAACAACATTGCAGCTGAACTCTTAACAGGTTTTAGAGGAGATTCTGATCTCAAACCCCAGAGAGTGTAAAACCAGGAATTCTTTCCAATGGTTTGCTGATTAAAATACACCTCCATCCCATGTACAGCTATTGTACTTACAAAAGAACAGTAAGTATTTTCTTAAAACCTGTTTGGAATGGCCATGTTTTCATATCAGAAACATTTAATTCCCATTGCTTTACAAAAGCAATACACAAAAGAAAATAATTTCTGAGGGATATAAAAACACCTAATATTACTCATTCACCTTAAAGTACTGAAATGCCAAAATAAGTTAATTAGCACATTTAACCTAGTACAGTAGCTGACATGATAAATACAATGTGTAAAAATCTATCCATCCATTTTTTAACTGCTTTATCCAGTTCAGGGTGGCGGGAGAGCCCAAGTCTACCCTGGCAAGCAACGGGCACAATGCTGGATACACTCTTGACAGGACGCATGTCCCTCACAGGTCACACACACACCCAGACCCACACCCACCAGCGACAATTTTCCCAGAAGCCAATGAACCTATCAGTATGTCTTTGGACTGTGGGAGGAAACAGGAGCACCTGGAGGACACCCACACAAACACAGAGAGAACATACAAAATCCCCACAGACAGCACCCCAGGTCTGGAACTGAACGCAGAACCCCAGCATTCTGAGGCAACAATATTAACTACAGAACCGCATCTACACCATCAAGATGCACTGTCTCCTAATTGTATTTAAAAGATAGGTACAGTATGTCATTGTATAATAAACACCAAAAATACAAATCATTACAATTAAATTATTGTGCGTATTACACCATGCTATGTGTATTATATTAATATTAATTCTATTCAAACAAATAATATTATTTAATTTCCAGAGGCCTATCCACCATGTAATGGTTGTGTCTAGTACTTTGACATGACCTGCTTGAGGTACTGTACAGTACATTGAATAAAATCAGACACACCACAGCAAATTAGTTTGACACTCTTGAGCTACTTAAAGGATACAAGGATCTCCCTCAACTGCTTTTTGAAATAAGCCATGTTTAGGTCCAGCAACATGGCTGGGCAGTTTGTTCCAGACTCCCACAGACAATTTTGGAAAAAAGTGCCTCCTGCTCTCAGTTTTAAATAAGCTTCCCTTAGAGATTATTGGACATCAATCATAGATGGTTTTAGTGCAATGATATGAGCACTGTACTACACGTTTAGAGCATGTTTTAGCCACGTGATATATCACTGTGAAATGAACGTAACTCATCAGATTCATTAGGATATGGAACACCACGTACGTAAATAATATGTACAGGCCACAAAATTGTTAGTGCTTCAGTGCATCTAAAATGTCTACTCTAATGCTTCCAGCTTTGAGGTCCTTGGAGAATTTAACCTTGTGAAGAGTAGAAAGTGAGAAAGAAAAAGCAGTTTTAAAGGCACTTAAAGAACTTTGGTCTCAAGGCAGCCAGGCAACAAGATCACAGAACTGTTAGTCCACATTTGTTATTGGGTGCTAATATCCCACTACAGGGAAGACAGCTACAAGAAAAACAATGTACTCATGTAGTGCCAGGAGGCTACTTAAGAAAAACACAACACTGATGTAGACATCTTATTAAAAATGTAAAAAAACAGATCAGTTATGTACTGTATCTTCACTAAGGGAGGACACTGGCTGTGTTCAGGTAACTGAAGGTTAGTACAGTAAGTGAAGACAACTGCCATTCTAGATCTCCTTCTAATGTATATTGCTTTATAAATAGTAGTGATAACAGAAAGATTTAAAGTCTTTCTAATCTAATCCACAGTACATTCTGCCTCCTGAAAGAGATCTGTTTACACATGCACATACTATATTTAGCATGAATGACACTTTACTTCTGTGAAGTTGCATTGCTTGAACAGAAATTCTCAGCATATCAGCTGCTGAGCACACTCTTAAGTAAAAAATATTGAATTTGTTTTTTTAGTACAACAACTACATACAAGCTTTTCAACTTTATGTCCTAGTCATTCTTTTAAAAATGCTACATTTCTGCAATTAAAATTGTGTTTTTCGCCCCTGTATTCCTTTACACTTGCTTACCGTCATATTTTGCTAATACTGCTTGTACATCAGCATAGGCCTGCAGTTCCAGTAAGGCCTCAAGGAGGTTTTCGTGGATATTGAACATACTGAGGAGAGGGAACTCCTTCATTAACTGGAAAACATACAACTGTTGTTACATGTAGTACCTCACAGGATGAAGTCAGGCTCAGAGACAGCACAGCTCTAACTCCATCTGCAACAGTAGTTCTCAAAGCCACTGTGGTTATAGGAATGTAACCCAATTTTATCATTTTCAATCACAATATTTTGGATGCACACAAAATACTGTACTGTAATAAGTTTCTCATAAACATAAGAAAGGTAATAACACAATATAAAACATAACATCACTTTATTAGCCCTATACAATTTCTTGCATTAGGAATTTCTTTTTCGCATACCCCAGCTTGCTCTCCATAAGAAACACAGACAGGGAGAGAGCCTGAGGTCAGAGTGCAGGGTCAGCCATTGTACAACACCCCTGGAGCAGTTGGGGTTAAGTGCCTTGCTCAGGGGCCCAATGGAGTAGGATTCTTCTGCCGGCTGTGGGATTTTAACTGGCAACCTTCCAGCCACAAGCGCAGATCCTTAGCCATAGAGCCACTGCTCAACATGCATATATACATATAGCATATCATTCTGGCCACCAACTTGTTTGGTTGCCAGTTGTTCAAAGGATCTCATCCCCCATTTCTAGACAGAATCAGGTTCCAGGGCATTGTCTTCAATGACACACCTGGATAGACTATATCAGACCCACAAATAACCCTTTGTATAACAAAGTGCCTCCGTTATTCATTGCTTAATTGAATCAAATGCTTCTTTTCTTTCACCTGCTAAAGCCTCATGATGTGACATGACAATGTTTTGACAATGTGTGTATTAATGATAAAAATGAAAATGGAGCAAGTCCAATTAAACCACAGTGTTCCAAGTGTTCCAAGTAGGGAATCACAGTGTTATTGCAAGAATCCTTAAGAACTGGTGACATTATTGTAAAGTTGTAAGTGCTTGTCTATAGTTCTTTTCATTATCCTGGATTTAAATCTGAAGACATCTCAAACTCACAAGTGTTAAACCCTAAATAAAAACAATCTAATGAAGGCAAATATATATATTTATGATCTTAGACTGGTTGCTCTGTTAAATCGTCTTAGATTTCTGAAATGTATTAAAGAGAATAATTCTGAAATGACAGGAGACCGCTTTAAACTAACTAAACAGTGTTGTACCACACTACATAAAGATCAGTAATGGTTTTTTCCCCCCTTGAGAGATTTTGAAATATTTTAAATTTTACTGCTAGGTGCAACAATAAAAAACAAGAGCTGTACTGTAGCTTTATACTAGTGGATTGCTAATGGCATGTATTCTCTACAATATAAAGAAAGCACAGGGAATGAGAATGGGCACAGTGGCAACAAGATACAAAATAAGAACAGTGCCAAATATCTGTTAGCTGCAAACCCATCAGTAGAAGCAGATATTGACTGAACTGTGACAGGACGTTTTGCCACTTCACTAAATGAGTTTGTTTAATCAATCCACTCTAGCCATTTGCAGAGCATCATGGGTAACAATACACTTAAGAGTATATGCATATTTATTGTGCATCCAAAACATTCTTCATTTCATTAAATGTGATTTCTTTACCAATAAAGGGTCATTTGGAGATAATCTCAGCAGAAGAAATTTTGAATTTTTTAGGAATTGCTCTGTTAGCAATATGCTCTGTAAGCTTTAGAACTACTGGTGCACAGGCTTTGTAATAATATACAACTGGCTTGCTATCCAATATAAATACAAATAAAAACTTCAAGTGAAAAATCCACCCTGATCCTGTCTCCAAAGTCTACTATTTTCCTGAAAAGCTCTAGATGGGCTTTTTATATTCACATATATAACATATTAAATAGATGTATAATAGATTCAACACAAGAGCACTAAAATCATTCTGTGACATTCGGTAACTTTTTCTGTTACTCAATTTTATGTATGTACACAGTTATATGTGAAACTTTCTTTATTTTCCTTTAATGCTCTTCAATTTATAGGATTCATTATGGGAAAAAAATAAACTCCCCCCCCCCCCCAATAGTGAACTTCTCAAAAATATTCTCTTTACTCAACTCTGAATCTCAAGGTATATTCACAATCATTCAGCTGTTTTCCACTGCCTGATCCTAAAGACTTGGGAATACTTACATCTCTCATCATTTTCACTGCTTCTCTTGTTCTTCCCAGTTTTCTAGCACACATTGCTAGCCTTCTTTTAATGTAAACCAAAACATTTGTATCTCTTCCTAAAAAAAAGAGGGACAAAACACTTATTCCATACAAGAAAAAAAGATATTTTAGAGGAGAAATATTGTGTAGTATATAGTATCATAATTATCAAAATTAGCTGGGACAACATGTTTATGAACTGTGAAATAATATTCTCTCTTTACATTAAGCACATCTTAAATTGAACAGATTTCAAACCTACATTAAATGCTGGTCTACACCTCTGCTGTGAATCTGCAGTGGTCAATATACAGCAGACGATAGTGGAAAGTGGAGTTTTGTCTATACTCAGTCTTAGTTGCTTTAGGATCTTTACCTGAGAAGAAATGCATGTTATTGGAGTTGCTATTATTCCAGGGCAATTTACTATACCAACATGTACAGTACTTTATCAGGGCTCTGAGCTAAATGATGTCTTGCACAGTCTTGGTGTGTATAATCCGATTTACTCACTGTGCTGTGCTTCATACTGGGCCCCATGATGCTGGAGCTGCTGACTGCGCCTGTAACAGCCCTCTCCTGCCTTCAGGGCCTGTTTAAAAAGCTTCTCGGCCTCCACAATCGTTGTGGCTTCCTCTTCTGCCAGGAGGATGTATGCAGTGGCACAGCTGTTCAACACAAAACATTAAAACTGTCGTTTTACACAAAAAAAAACCACGACAGTCCACCACCCCTCCCCCTCTGCAACCATGTTAAATCCAGTACTGTGACTTCTGTTATAAATTATACCATGCGGTTTAGTTGACATTTCATGCCAGCCCTCTAAAGCAGATATCGAATGGGAGAAATGTGCAAAATAAATAATTCATCATCTGCTATACACATGCATCAGGCTCAGCCTTTTGTCATTCCATGTAATGTCATGGATGGAGGTCATAACGAATTAATAAAAGAGCAGACAATGCCTCCAGTAACATAAGCTTTAATGTGATGCCTGGATCACAAGGGCCATATGTTTTAACAGAAATGTGTTCAACATGGTGGTGAAATCCTATCTCTTTCATTGCTATAGCGTGCATGCCGAAAATCAGACACCCCTCTAGTATAATGAATACTCATAACTTCTTATTCATATCTGTAGCAAACAGGGAGCAAGGCGATGGGTAAGTATCTTTGTGATTATGGGGAAAATATTTCATCTTATAGACGGTGACTCACTCATCTAGCTCCAAAGCTTCATGTGCAGCTGAGATCCGAGCCTGCGGATTTCTCTCTCTCCAAGCCTTCTGCATTACTGTCAATCAAATAAAACGTCCGTTCAAAGATTAAAGCCGATACGGCATTCCAAAAAGAACTTTACTTAGTGTGTACTTCATAGCATGAACTTAGGATTTTGGCAGTGTATAAATTAACATCCTTAAAACGATTTTCATGTTTTTCCTCATGTCTCCCAATTTGAAATTGGCATTTTTTTAAATGGATTGGTCCACAGCAATGTCTCCTGTGGCAGAAGGAGGTTGGCAGACATCCAACTCCAACTCGCCTGCCCATCAGAACTACTCATCTTTCAATGTGCTGCCAGCCTCATCATGCCCTATAGAGAAGCTACACATCTCTCACATCACTGCAAGCATGCGGGAGTCTGGACCAAGGAACTCAAGCCTGCATTTGCATTGAGCGCCTTCACCTGCTGAGCCACTCGGAAGCCCCCAAACCTAACTTTTTAGTTTATCATAGTTTGTTCTTTGCACAAAAATCTATTCCTTTACAACATACATTTTCTGTTAACATTACAACAAATAAGAGTTCCAGAGCTCAGGAGCACAGCAGGGGAAGGCCCTGTCACCAATAGTATGCAAATGTAGATGCTAAACATATTTCTCAAAGACGAAAACTAATAAGTCTCTTGGCACTCCTGAATGTACGTCTTGAATGTCATTTTTTTCCCCAATATGAAATAGCTTGATAGACTACAATTCTGACAATATATCATGTACTATTTGTAGCCAGTACTTTGTACTTACTACTTTAAATTTATTATATATGTGATGCATTAAAGAAATAATTTGCCTATATTGATGACATTTCTGGATTTTTACTTAGTGGCTTGGCTTTTTATGCACAACAGGTTGTGTTTACAATGATGCTATCCAACCAATAGAACCGATGGACTTATCAGAGGGTACCTCTGAAATATCACTTGTGGTTCCTAAAGTGGTTCCTTATTATTTTGTATAAAACTGTTAATGCAAGGTCAACAGAACAGGTGAAAGACATGCACACAAATTGTCTGAAGATCCGAGTAATACTCCTTCCTTGTAAATCATGGAAACTATCGAAAATGTCAGACAATGCCTGTAGACACCTCAACAATAGATTAGCAGAACAGAAAGAGAACAATATTCTATACTATAAGAATATCTATAAGAGTCAAAACACCACTGCAGGAAAGAGAAACAAACTTCTTCTTTCAGATAACTTTCATCTGATCAATAACATGAACCTTTTGTTTAAGTCTATTTATTATTAATAGTAATTATTATGCAACATTTAGCCTTCCAGTTTATACCCATTCAAACAGCATCATCTTAGATTTTCATCATCACCTCCAATGACATCTCATTAACACAGTTCTTACTAGCATCAGCAGGCCTTAAGTGATCTGTGTCACACGTGAAAAATGTCTGGTGATCCTGGGCAGAAAGATTCATATCGTAGTATGTGAGAGGCTCTCTTCCCGTTACCCACGTGTACCTGAGAGGAACATAACCAAGAAGGTGTCAGGATTACTACGAGCATTTAATTGCAAATCCTCAGCACTTCATAGTTCACAAAAACGTCAACATAATGTCTGTCAAGTTAGTCTCCAATCCTGTACTGGACTAAGGAGGTGCTGAAAATGAATGAATGCAAAGTCAATTTCTACAATTTATTTGTTTTGTATATCCGTTTCTGTATTCAAAAGTAAATACCTAACGGAGATAAGAAAAAAAAATGTTTGATTATATGAACGGTGTCATCCAATTTAAGCAACCTCTGCCAGCTCGTTGGGGCTGATGCAGAGTACCTGTGGGAGTGCAGTTGCATAATGTGATCACACTGACTTACAGCAAGGAGACAGAAGAAGGTTGCCTACACTGAGAATTTGTTTCATTTATTCCATTTAATGTTTTCTATGTGCTGCGAGAAAGGGTTTCAAAAACAAATATATTTCATGAGAAAAGGTGGGTCTTGTGGTAGCCACACTCTTTAGCATTTTCAAATTTATCACTCAAAGGGTTTTGCTAATAGTGGCAGTCTAGTGCCAGTCACTCTTTGGTGAATAAAAAAAGAGAAAACCCTGTATGATCACATCATAAATAGAATGGATAAGAGACAAATGTGTCTGATAAGCACATAAATAAAAAATCACACTGCTCATGCAGCATTTTTCATTTTTAAGGATCCCAAAGCTCTTTATTTGTAGTACAAAGTCCACTTCAACCACCACGTATGTGCTGAACCCCCCTGGATACTAGAACAGGTGGACAAATTAGAAATTGTTTTTCTAGTTGCATTAAGGGGGAACTTTATGAAGATCAGATTGCACAAGCCCAGGGCAGAACACCAGTCCCTGGGATTAACACCATTACTATTATGAAGAGCATTACAGGATCTGTAATGATAAAGCAGTTAAGGCTTGGTTTGAAATCTCATCCAAATGACACCCCCTACAGCACAGTGTCCACTGTCGTCATACTGGGGGTACTGGTTTGGAGAAGTGTCACCTACTGGTCCACTAACATGCCTTAAAGCAGCAATATAGCAAATAAAAAGGAGTCCAACGGGTTATTGTGATAAGAAAATAGCTTTTTTTTAAATAAAGCTTTACACTCACCGGTTATATTCTGCTCCTCTAAATAAATTTAGTGGGTTTCTCCAAACTTTACATTCTGCGGACAAAAAAAAAAGAATTTAAATGAATTCCAGAATGGGATTACTGGGGTTCAGAGCAACGGCAAGAAAACGAAGGCAAGAATTCCCTTCAGCGGATTTCATTAGGCAAGCCTGCAAACCAGATTCAAACAGGGTGATAAGAAGACTTTCCTGTGGTCTGTGCAGTACTCCGCAGAGTGAGGAAGCAAACTAAATTATACCCACAGGGATCGGGCAAACTAAGGATACATTCCTTTCCATTGCCCCCACCTCGGTCACAATTCCTGTTTATTTTGGTGCATTCACAGTATTTAGATCTCCAGAAGAGATCAGCATAAAAATCTAAAGATGGTATTAGAGCACCTTATTGCGGTCTCCTTAAAATTCATCAGTATTGTATTATAACTGTATAAGCTACGACAATAGGGAGCTCATGGCTGTTATCTTTCCAAAACCAGGTGGAGATCAACTGTATAATTATTAACAGGAACAAGCTTAAAGTGAGGGAAGAGATTGTTTTTTATGTAATCATTAATCACCTCCTATTACAAACTCTCTCAATCTGCAATGATTGTTCAAACCAGCTTCTTTCCCTCCAGCAGCAGAAATGCCATTAGCACTGTGACTCAGAGCAAAACTGACACTGCGTTGCCAGAGTGTGAACATCAAATGGACCAGTGGCACATTATCACTAATGTCGCTACACATCCCACGAGCTGCTACTGCACAGCAAGCAGAGGAGACCCTGACAGACTTGCACCCGATCCCCTGCTTGAGCAATTGTGTTTTGCAGAAATGGGAAATCTCATTCACAGCCAGATAGTGGCACAGCCCAGGCTTGAACCTGTGACCTCTGAGTCACTCACTCGGGATTCTCAAAGATCTGGATAGGGTGGCAGTATAAAAACCCTCTTATTTTCCCAATAAGAGGCTTAGGCAGGAACAAATGTGTAAAAGAGCTGGTGTTTAGCAGAATTCTTCATACACACTACTTAGGATCAAGAGCTTTGGCTGTTGCCATTTCCATAATCAAAATTGTGACAGGGGTTAATCTGTCTTTAAGCCATTTAAAGGCTACAGAATCTTTATTTTCACTTTAAGACACTGAAAATCTGGAATTAATGGTGACTAAGAGAATGAGCTGATTAGTAGATTGTCAGGTCTTGTGTCAAAATAAGGTAGGTGTCTGTATGGCACCACATAACAGACAGGCCACAGTATCCCATATAACTTAATAATTTACAGGCAAGAGGAAACTACTGAATACAGTGGTGAATAAATGGATTTTAAAGAGGAAGAAGTAACAAAAACAATAAAACCTGTTCCTGTATTTTTCAGTCATCTGAAACAACCGTCTAGAATTTAAAAACCTATATGATTATGCAACAAAATTATACCAAAGAAGAGCCAATGGAAAAAATGCTGGGAAATGCCTTTAATGTTATTGTAGTTTTAAAAGGTGGAAAGATTTGCAAGTTATCAAATGCATCTAAGAAGTGCATACATGCTACAGTAACGTCATATAGACACCAGTAGATGTCATACAGAACACAATGGATTCAATAAGCTGTAGCTGTTGTGCAGTTTTCTCTCCCTCTATGGTAATCAGCCATGGAGCAACATTAAAAACAAAGTAACGGCCATCTTAATAAAATATGCAACAGCACATTGGTATATTTAACTATAATTCCTCTGCTCTTTGAAATGACACAAAGAAAAGGCAGTTTAAGTGTAGAATGGTCATGAACATTCAAGAACAAAAGTGAAGCGTTTTAAATGTTTTGTAAAGAATTGTACGTACCTGACACACTCTGTCGATTTGAATCTGAATCTCCATTACTACTGTTGGAGTTGCTAGGAGTACTGTTATCGACTCCGCCCAGCAGAGGGCGCAGGTGACTCACAGAGACTTGTTCAATGAAGGAAGTTCCGTACTTCCGAAAATACCACCATTCAAATATCTACAAAACAAATGAATCAAAAAGCACCAAAAATGTTATTCATGGATCTTCGTGTACCGTCTTTAAAATCATACTCTTTAATGTTTGTTGTTTAGGATCATAGATAGCATAATTATTAGACGTCTCAGAATATTTTTGCACCAAGAGATGTTCTTTTAGATAATGTAAAATACTGTGTTACATTTGTCTAGATGACTTAATAATTTGATATTCAAATAAACTGGAGATTGGTTTACATACATTAAGAGCTGTGCAGACTAAAAACAGACAATGAATAATATAAGCAAATCATGTCATCTACATACACTTGATGTAAACCAAGTAGCTGTGAATTGACTGAAATTTTAATGTTTTAAACGTTTTGTTATACTTCAAAAAAGATGCTTTATAATTGTTAGGAAGGTTAAGTAGGAGGGATGTTAGGAAATGCTTAATATGACATTGACATTAAAACATTGTATGCAAATGAAAGTGAAATATATAATCTGAAGAAATGCATTATTAATATCTGCTTGAAAGCAAATTTAATTTTCTTTACAATGTTTAAAGCTTTAAATACAACACCTTAACACAATACATCACTCAAGCTGAGAACACAAACTGCTTTTTACTTTAAATTAGTTTAATATTTTAAACAGCATTTTAATTAAATCAATTATCAGCCCAAGTTCATTAGATCTAAATATATATTGTGTATATATATATAGTTCAATGCTTTGTGATGTGTGAGATTTTCTTCAGGTTACATTAAACCATTTTAAAGACCACAGGCTTGTCACGGTCTATTCAAATTAATACTTTATCAGACCAAAGCTAGGAAATGAAGATGAGTTGCAACGTTTGATGTCTGTAAGCATGTTCAAGTTGTAGTCTCAGATTGTTCCCCATGCTTCTGGCATGGGCTCAGGGTCACTGCAGGCCTTTCCAAGAATAAGAGGCAACTTTCTGATAATGGGTGGATGGGTGAAGCAGAATTAATTATGAAAGCAGCATGCACACATGTAATTGAGTCAGTGTGTGAGCTAACCCTTTGTTCCTTGTGCATTCAGTTACTCTAAGCTTTAACAGCAAGGTGATCATTTCCAAACACTCCAAGTACCCATCTGTGCATTAGGAACATGGTAATTTTGCCAAACTGAACAGAAACCAAATGCTGTCCTATTATCCGTTTGCTTGGAAGATATTACTATGGCAGAAATCCTGTGTACTGTCTGTATAGTGACTCCATCCTATACATTAGGAGCTTAGAAAATGAGGACTGTACAGTAGCAGAAAATTATAGGATGCAATTAGAAGCAAACGTGATCAACGTTTATTGTTTAATGGCAAAGCCTTCAAATAATTGCAAACTGCAAAGAAAAAAAGCCATACTGTATACTCCCCCACTAGGGATATAAACAAATAGTTTGCATAAAATGCAATGAAGGCTTAAGAATATGTTTTGGCTTCAACCTGCCAGCTCTAGGCAATGAAACCCTGGTCACGGGCAGTGCAGGTGTGGATGTGGAACGGAGCTGGGCAGTCAAGTCTGAAGTCATTTATTTATACTGCAGTGAGCCGATTTCCACTGCACGTGCAGGTAACCACAAGTGAACAAGCATGCAGGGGAATAAGCTGCGATGCACTTACACACTGCAGCGATGAGATCAACCTGATTTTTGCCACAAGGCATGGTCAATGAAAGTCCATGCCTGCTGAGTGGGGCAGTAATGGCCTGTGTTTCTTTCCATTTTGGCTTAACAAGAGGGAGAAGCACAGGAGCACCGCGTTACAGGAAAACATTGCCGACTTTGGACAGAAGATCAAAATCCCGAACAAAATTGAGAGACAAATCTGATGAGCAGATAAACATATACAATTCAAATGAGCAAAGGAACACCAGTAGCTAAATTAATACATACTGTATTATAGAAGTTTTATAGAATTAAATGAATAACCCAGGGAATGCTCCTCTCAACTTCAACCACAAAGTACGAGTACAGGGAATTGAAGTACACAATGGGTTTGAAGGAACACTCAGGTGTTAAACCGCTGTAGGAAAATCAAATCACAGAGGCCATTCAATATTTCCCAATGGAAACACAACCTCCTAGTTTGGAAGTGGTTATGACCCAAGCCAAGTGCATGTCTTTTTACTAAACTTTCAACAGAGACTGAAACCTTTTCCATTTAACCTGAAACTGGAGCACCAGTTTCTCAGACCAGTAATTAAACCTTGGTAACAAAGGCCTTTCAAATTTCACAGGTTTCAAATAAAGTGCAAAATTGCCAACTTTGTGAAAGTACTTTACGGTTGCCATGTTGTCGCAGGCAGACAAGAAAACGCTGGTTTTGCCACGGGAGGGAGCGAGAGTTTGTGTGACCTATGGTGTGAAATCAGCCCTTCCTGCTCACTAGTCACTGTGAGTGAATGAGAAACATGGTCTCTGAAAAACATGAATTATTATGAGTATATTTTAGTTGTTTTTTTCAACATGTCTCTGGCCCAAGCCGTAGTCCCCACCTGCTTCAAGACAACCACCATAATCCAAATACCGAAGAAAACCACAGTGACATGTCTTAATGACTACCGACTGGTGGCACTTACAACTGTCATCATGAAGTGCTTCGAGAGGCTGGTCATGAAGCACATTAAGACACCATTCCGAACACACTGGACCCATACCCTGCCCAAGACATCCACAGATGACGCAATCTCCATTGCCATAGACACTGCCCTATCCCATCTGGATAAAAAGAACACATACGCAAGACTACTAGTCATCGACTTCAGCTCAGCTTTTAACATCATCATTCCAGAGAAACTAGTCAAGAAACTCAGGCACTGGTGTCTCGGCACCACCCTCTGCAACTTGATTCGGGACTTTCTGACAGGCAAACCTCAGGTTGTCAGGCTTGGAAACCACACCTCCGGCACACTAACTCTGAACGCTGGGGTCCCCCAGGGGTGTGTGCTTAGTCCATTGCTCTACTCCCTCTATACCCACGACTGTAAGGCCAAACACAACAACAACTCCATCATCAAGTTTGCCAATGACACCACAGTTGTAGGTCTGATAAAAGACAGCGATGAGAGGGCTACAGGGAGGAGGTCAATCTCCTTACAACATGGTGTGAAGACAACAACCTCAAAACCAAGGAGCTGATCGTTGATTTCAGGAAACTGCAAAACGGACATGCTCCTATCCATATCAATGGAACTAAAGTGGAAAGGGTCAGTAACTTCAAATTCTTTGGTGTCCATATCATCGAGGACCTCACATGGTCTCTCAACGCCACCTGTCTGATCAAGAAAGAGCAACAGCACCTGTACTTCCTAAGATGGTTGAAGAAGGCTAAGATATGTCCCTAGATCCTCACTAACTTTTACAGATGCACTACAGAAAGCACGCTGACAGGTTGCATCACAGTGTGGTATTGCTGACCGCAAAGCCCTACAGCAGGTGGTGAAAACTGCCCAGTCCATCACTGGGGTTGCCCTCCCATTATACAGGACATTTATGACAGTGCTTGAGGAAAGCTCTAAGCATCATCAAAGACCCCACACACCCCAGCTACAGAATGTTTGACCCTCTACCATCTGGAAAATAGAACCGGAGCATCCGGGCCCGGACTACCAGACTCAGAGACAGTTTTTACACCCACACTATCAAACTATTAAACTCCCAGCCTCTCTCACCTATGATCTGAACCTCACAGTGCCTTCCTTCTTACCAAAAACTCAAACACACATTGAAATCTACCTCTACCTTACATGTCAAGAAGCTCACTCCCCATAATTTCTATCCCTTTATTTCATTCTGTTGATGCATGTTTTTGCACATCTGATGTTGTTTTACACATTACCTGTTGCCTTTTGTCATTTTGCACACTGCCTGTTGTCTCTGTCTTTCTTTTATTATACAATTGTATTGTTGTTTTTTGTACTGCTTATCGTCTGAGAGCTAGCTAAATAGCATTTCGTTATACCATACACCTGTATATGAGTATAATGACAATAAACTTTTTTGCAATACTTAAAACTATCTAGAAACATGTTGCCTTATATGTGTCAGTTTCATGAAAATATATACTATTAATATAGTAGTAAAATGTGCTTGGTCTAAAGCATGTTTACAATGTAATAGAGTCGTTTGCGTTACTGTAAGTTTTGCTCTGAATCGCAGAAAATGTTGGCAATATAATGCTACACATACAGTACATTGAAACTTTGTCTCTATAGTGATGTAAATTGGAACATCAACTGTTCAGAGGAGGTTGCGTGAAGCTGGCATACCAGGAAAAATTGCTGCAAATAAACCATGGTTAAGAGAGCAGAATAAGAGGAAGAGAGTTGCCTAGGCCAAAAAACAGAAACTGGACCTTTGAGGCCAGCTTCACGCTACCTCCTCTGAACAGTTGATGTTGAAACATCTGTACTTCTAGTTGCATTGAGTTCAGCTTGTATTTCAGGGTCAGTTATTATTGTCTTCATTTCTTAAAGCTTTTTTCCTTGCTTGCTAAGCACATTCTGCCATGTTCATTCAGGAATTACAAACAATTGCCCATCCTCCCTATATTTATAGTAATCGTGGACCTTCCCTTGTTTACCAATAACTGGTGACAAAAGGTAAATAAAGTAAGATGTTAGTTACCTGTGAGAACATCTAACAAATATAATTTTAAACTTCTTTTAGTGTTCTAACACCATGTTATACACATTTCTGACTTTTAACTAACCTGGGTTTACAACTGAAATCTGCTTGCTTTGGTTGTTCATTTTATTGAAAATGAAAAATTAACATTTTCAGTGCAGTTCAATTAAGATTATAAGTACAGGTTAATACGTTGTAAAGCACAGATAATTGTGAAAAACCTGGTTTCAAGCAGGTGTACTCAAACTTTTGACTGGTACTGTATATTGTAAAAGATAAATAAAGACACTGCGTTGAAAAATAAACTCCAGTTATAGGCTTCCTCGTTTCAATAATACTGGTGCAATAAGAACATTTTATTCAGGTAAATAGTTTAGAGTAAGGAGTTATGTCAGTTTGGGAGCTGGAAAGGAACAAGCAGTCACACCTGAAAAGCTTTTTTTCTTACTTCCTTTTATTTTTAGCATGCAGTTACTCTATGGTTGTTCAAATATAACAGCACTACATTAATGTAGTTTGGAACTATTATTAATTATAGGAGGGGAAAAAAGCAATAAACTTACCAATATAAGCCCAGATATTAAAGAAGAGGTTCCTGTCAGGGCGACGTAAAATTTTGGGGTCAGCGTATTTAGAAACATGCTCACTAGAGATGGAAAAAGAGAGACAACACATTAGACAATAGTTTAAAAATAGTCCAAGTCAACAAAATAAAAAAGCACAAAGATGACGTGGAGTACGGAAGCTTATTAGCTCTATGGAGAAGAAATTATTTTTTGCACTTAAGATAGTATTGTGTTTAAATAATATACTTTTTGCATTAAAATGCAATCATTAATTTGTGAACAATATTGCCTACTATATTAATATATTGTAATATATGCATTTATAATGTCCCTTACAAACTTGCATTGACTTTAACATCAGATGAAAACGGTCACACTCCTATGATATTCTACATGTGAAACTGCAGAAAAATGTACTGTACACGGTTTTTACTACTCTTTAAACATTGAACGGACTACATTTATGTTGACTTGACAGTAAGAATTATACCTAACAGTAAACAGCAACCCAATAATGTACAAACTGCATAACATACACCATGCAGACATTTATGAGCATTATGTTCTGTAAATCATGATTTTAAGAATGTCTGGGCTTTTAGGTGAATGTTCTGATAAGAATCAGAAGAATAAAGGAAAAGCTACAGGACCTTTCTGAAATTGTTTATTATAACTTTCTCAGAATTACAGGGTGGATGCATTGCAATTTATTGGTAAATCCTCAAACCAACCTTTGCATATACTACTGTTAGAAGAAGGAACTTTTCAAACAGCCTCTATCCTTGTCTGTTGCTTGCAGATGTCCTGACTACAGCAGTATACAGGAACACAAAGCCTATCAGCCGACTTGTTAACTCTTTCAGACCAGGTCCTTTGCCATGAAACCTGACGATGAGTAACGTAGAGTCACCATGGAGAGGGTGAAAGTAAAGAAGGACTCTTTCAGTCCTGGAGACGCTTTAGTTTCTGTGAAAGTCTGTGCATCCTCAGTCTGTAGCCAACTCCTCAATGGGAGAGCAGATGGAATACTTCAATGCCTGTTCTGCTGGCTGAAAGCAGCAGAAGAAAAAGACCCCCAGTCCTCCTGATCTCCATACCGTTGACACTGAAGAGATAGTAGCTAGAAGAGTGCTGCAGCTGACAACTGATTACGATCTTCGAGAGGGACTGGGAGGATTTTTAAGGGGTAGTGGTAAATGTTTTTTTTATTCTGCAGTTGATTAGGCACAGATATTTTTTCCCCCCACAAAAGAAATGACTATCATCTTCATGAAAGCAGCCTGTGAACCTCTCAGTACAAACAGAGTTTTAAACCGATTTGCATTGACAGAATCCAAATGCTCTGTCGCTCCAATTAATCTAACAATACAAAATGCATCCCTTTAACAGGGCAATTTAACTCAGTTATTTAGCATTGTTTTACTGAAGGTTTCTTTTGCAGAGTCACAAATGGACCAGAAGAGGAACAGCGTTATGTTAGGGCAACAGTTTATTTTACGTGTCATTTTCCTGCTTTGATGGAAATTTATATAATGTGTGATTAGAGTTCCCTATTTTTATAAAAGAATCATTTGTTGAAAATCTGTCACTGATCCGATAAGCCTGCCTGCTAAACTGCTTCCCTGGGCACCACTCATCTGCCCCATCCTGAGTAAATCTTTGTCAGGCCCCCCCCCCAGCTGGTGTCAGCTGTGAAACAGCAGTCAAAATGACCCGATGCGGTCTCTCTCATTCTACGAGGGATTATTAACAAAAACACCCTCAGCTCAACGATAGTCCCTTAGCATCAGCAGATGAAACAACAGCTGTTGAAAACCAACAGTGATTCCAGGAGTAAGTTGTGTCTATCTTTAATTTAATGAATTTGAATCACTTTTTCTCCCCAGCCACGTGATTTCGAAATTGACAAATTTTCATGCTGCAGCCCTCAGCTACAAACTCTGTGCCCGCACACGGGAGAATGAGGAAGAGTTCACAGACTCTTCTGATACACTACCATCGATCTAGTCATCATATGGCACATCTCAGACGATGCACTTCATGCAAGAAGTTGAGAGCTGAATGGAGGTGACAAGCAACCCTCACCAACTGTACTGCAAGCCTGCAAGTGCAGAAGGCCAGGGATTGATTAGGGGTGGACTTATTCAACCCTGAACCAACTCAAACTGAGTGTATTTAATACGTTCTTTTTAAAGATGTAAAACAATTCAGCACCAAAGAACAAGAACAGATAAGGATTCCAAAGGTTAAAGTCTGTATTTATACAACAATTTTACCAAAACACTGTTTTACAGTATACAACGCCTAAATATGTCTAAGGGGTTAAAAGCAAAACTAACAAATTTGCAGAGGTAATTTAACAAATATTTTAAATTTGATTAATAAGCACTTTAATGCTTTCGAGCTTATAGAATATGAGTAGCAGACTCAACAATTGTTTCAATAAATGCAGCTCCCTTTTCCCAGTTAAATGTACTTTAGTCTTGTGAAGGTACCTACAGTCATTTCATGCCCCATTCATGCTAGGGATCAAACAGAAAAATAACCATCCGACACACTTAATAGTAACAGAATCTTGAATCATAAACTTAAAAATGCATAATTCAGATGGTTTTTGAGTTATAAGGTGCAACACGCTGCACCATTTTGTCACTCTTATCTACAATGAAAATAAGATTGCAGGAGACAGAATATACACTGCCATATTTCAATGAAGAAAAAAAAATATTTATCAATTAGGGATTAACACCCCTAGTTTGGGAACTTCAATACAGTAGTTTGAATATAGCCTTTGTCCTTTACCATGACTGAAACTATTTCACAGGGTGAAAAAGAACAACACTTATTTCTCTCCACTCTTATCAGAAAATAATAGCTTGTCATCTTCACATTGTGGGGCGCTACCCTTCTATCCAGGAGAAAACTTATTTATCTCAAACATACTAAAGTATTCCAGAGTTCTAAATGTATAAGAGCTCAACTTTACATGCAATTAAAAAAGAAAGTTCAGTACAAAAATAAAATTAAAATGAATGCATACTTCAGAAAACAGTTTTGATTTTATGAAAAGTTAATAAGAAAAGAGATTATTACTGAATATATTCAATACATTAGTGCTTCCAGGCTTTTCTGTACTAAGCTAATATATCTGCATATTTTGTCTAGCATATGCATGATTGAGGTTATTTTATAGACAGCAGTGTCAGGCTTTTTTTTAAACTAGTATTCACAGCGAGTAATACAGTAGGTTAAGCATAACTCAGGCAGCACAAACCTTCAAAGGCTGCAAATATCTGATGCAAGACAAGGAGTATGCTTTCTCATGTTTGTGCTGAACTTGCTTTTTGGCTCAGCAGTTTAGAGATGCTATACAGCAGATGACATAAATAACATCAGACTTTTTCCTTTGATAGAGCTAAAGCTAACCTCCAGATCTTTACGCTAGATAGGAATCATATTATCTTAGGTCAACTGTTTTCCCATTAAAATTCAATGTGTTCTTTGTGACTACTTGCACTGAAACACCTACTTTAATACCAACATTGAGTTTTCTTTAGTTCTGAAAACAACAGTTTAAGTTCAAAAAGCCTCAAACACACAAAAAGTATGTTTTTTAAGTACAAAAAGTACTTAACCACTTTCAAAATCAGGGGACGCAATTGTTTTACAGGAAAGCAGAAAACATCTCGAGCCTGTGCTACATATACTGTGTTTTGTAATGTATATATAACTTATCTAAAGAACAAAACATTTTCAGTAATAGACTGGAATGGGAGTGAGTCTCCACCTTCCCAAGAGGTCGGAACGCTTTGGCAAAGAGGCAATATGCTTGCCTGGAAAGCCTATGACCAGGGTTTAATTTCCTTTCCTCTCTGAGTGTTAAAATACTGTTGATAAGTGCATCTTTGGCAAAGTTTGCAGATAACACAGCACTAACCCAACTGCAATATAAAGTGAATTTGTTAGTTTGGACTTTTTGACTACACAACTGAAAGCCTGAAGAAGGCTCCACAACTTCGTGTTTTCTTTTTTCTCTTTTCAGCATGGAATAAACCTATCACTTGTTCCTTGAAAGCATGAAACATGAATTGAAGTAAGAGGACATGATAAACCTTAAATTAGAAAGAGACTGAGAAATTCAGTATTTGTATGGCCCAGGATTTTTGGAAAGAAATAAAAAAGAAACAGAGGAACATTATTCTTTTCAGGATGCCATATGAAACCTAGATGTGAACTGACAATGACGGACATACAGTAGTCATAATGACATAACTGACAGACATGATATAAAAAGGTAAATTCAATGTACCTGTAATG